GTATTCTCTGGATGCGTAACAATTTAACGAATATTTTATTTATATCTTCAATGATTCTAAGTTTCGCTGAACTATAATTACTCTGGCATTTTTTAATGAAGTTCTGAATACAAGGCCACTGCTTGATGTGTAATGTAACCTGACGCCATTTTTTATTTATGCAATTAATTGATGTTAAAGAGTGATAATATTGTGCGATGTTAACTAAAGTGGCAGAAATGATGTCATTTATTTAGACATATTCTATTCACGAGCAATCAGGTATTTGTCCTTTGTAATATAGATAACAAATAGTATTAGATCATAATAGATAAAAGATACACAAGGGACAACTCATACAGGAAGTTTCCAGAAATTTATTAATACCAAAAAAGATAGGGTATATGTTAATAGTAGATAGGGAAAATGTAACGCCCATATTGAAAAATATACCATACTGGGTATAATACACTGAATAACAATATTCGAAACTTCAAAACTGTCAATGTATTTCAAAATAGATGGACATTTTAGTTCTGTCTGTAATTAATTTTTTTATTTTGATAGCAATATTTTCATTATATGAATGAACTCAATCATGAGAAATACATCTTGATCAAATGTGATTTTGTGTGGTGATGGAACTCTATTTTGTATTTGCTTTGTATTATAATAATTGATTGAATTTATTGATTTCATGGAAACATAGAACTGAATGTTATTTATCATTTTTAACGTCATGAATTGTATATTCCCCTAATATCAAATAATTTATACAGATTGATGATCCTTTCTCTCTGATTCAGCTAATAAATACATTTTGGTGAGATACAACAATCGTCAAATAAATGATCTAAATAGAGTTGGACCTAAAACAGAACTGTGTAGAACCCCACACTTAATTGTTTGCAGTGAACAATAGTATTCTGTATATAAGTGTACTGCTTTTTGTTGCTTGGATAATAATGAAACTATGTAAATACTATTCCTCTTCTACCAATAAAGTTTAACTTTTGCAGAATATCATGATTTACTGAATGCGTTCAATACTCAACTGAGTCATTAATCAAAATCTTTGTACATAAAGTGAAAAAAATATGAAAAGACTGATGACAGGCTCTGTTTTTGTTTGAAAGCCGTCTGACTTGTCCATTTCTTCCAAGGCTCCGGAAACACTGCAATCATATTGACTTATTGCGTTAATTCTCCTATCTTTTTTCATGACACCCAATCTTACCAATCTTGTTCCTTGTCGGTACTAGTTTGTGCAGGTTCCTTGTTGGATGTGTGCCATATTCTTCTGGACATAATATGGGTCGTCCATAAATCGCTTGCCCCCTGTGATACACTAAATATCTCCCATGAATGGTTTTGTAAAGAATATTTCTCGATTCTTAAAAATTGAACCTGAATAGGTTGGATGAATGGCGTCATTGTTGAATATCTCAAAAACTCGGATTTTTGGTGTTCAGAAAATAGAAAATAGCTGAACCATTCAGACATAATGATATGGCTGAATGTTATACTCTGGCCTACCACATATATGGCCTTAGTCTTATTGCATTTATCGCTTTTTCAGTTAGTAGTAACCTTCAAAAGGAAACTGTTGAAATTTCATGATGTTCTACTCATAAGTTTGTGAGTTATATTGTGCTAAGAGTGACACTACTTTTGTTATTTTCAAAACAATAGATCGAAAACAATTTCGTGTTTTACTTTTACACTGCTTCTTGATGAATGAAAAATAATATCATTCAAGCGAAGTAATTGCTTGAAAAGTGTTATAAGTCCTCTGCTCCATCAGAAAGAGGACGACGTTGGGTTGCTGAGTTCAAACGTGGTCGTAGGGACTCCGATGATGCAGAATGCAGTGGACGACCAAATGAGGCAGTCCCGACCAGACAACATAAAAAAATCCACAAAATTGTTTTGAAGTGAAGTGAAGTTGCATGAGTTAGCTGACATTGTGAATATATCAAAAGAGTTTGTTGGCTTTACATTGCATAAGCATTCGTCTATGAGACTATGTCTATGTCTATGAGCTCTGGTCAAAAAGGGTCCCGCGCGAATGTACTGTTGACCAAAAAAAAAGAACGTCTTGATGATTTTGAGCAGCGTTTGGCTATGTTTAAACATAACAAACTTGAATGTTTGTGTCCATATGTGACAATGAATGAAACATATCCATCACTTCACTCCGAAATCAGAACGATCGTCATCTGAGTGGAGAGCAACTGGTGAACTTCGTCCAAAGTTCCCGAAAACACAACAATCGGCCCGGAACTTTTCAGCCCAGGTTAGAAGAGCACATTCGTTTCTGATTAGGACCATACCTAGCCGTTACTAAAGATATTTGATTCAATCCCAAACTTTTCGCAGTCGGTTTAAAAAATCGGCTGAAAGTTTGATTTCAAAAGAGATACTGCTTACAATTGAGATACCGCTCAAATACTTGTAACGGTTTTTGAACAGTTTGAGGAAATGTGATGGAACTTGACGATAATTAATGAAAATCTATCATAAAATATTCAACACTTTATTGTGAGATTTTCATTTAATGCATTACAAAAACATGACATTTCTTCGGGCGTATTCACTACTAACTCTCAGTAAGCAATTTTTTCAGTCTCAAACTCCATCACAGCTATCAATTCAGCATGAAATTTAGTTAACTACCTAGCCTCAAAACTTACCGTTGTTCGTGTCTATCAACCTGTCAATGAAGACCTGTACATCTGTTGTACAAATTTTTGAGGCTTGGGTGTGTGTGTGTGTGTGTTTGTGCGAAAGTCTATCCTGTTTCCTTCGTAGAACCGATTTGCGTCCGTTGCCATACATTCCCTTGTAACTTTGCCTTTGTGTACGATATTTTTCGGCGGGCCGATTCGGCCAATATATCTCTCCATTATCGGTGGTTTCGCCGGTCTTGCTTTGGTAGTATAAGTGGGTCTTGTTGTATAGTCTCCATGTCTTTGTTTTATTCTTGTTGTTTTTCCTTTCTCTGACTGTCTGCTTCTTCGGGCACTTTTTGAGTCCATAGTGTTCTTGCGTTGCGAGCTGTCTCGCTGGCGGTTTCCTCTACTGGTTTTTTCGATTCTGGTATGCTCTTATGAAAACAGGTGATTCTCAGAAAAACTATCACTCGAGAGTGATATCGTGACTAAAAAACTCCACTTTCCCTCAATGGTGAGGTCATTCCATTTGAAACGGAGGTGAAATATCTTGGCATTATTCTTGATAAGAAAACTCATCTGGAACGTTTACTTGGAAAAGGTTTTACACAAAGCCAGACTGTCCCTATGGACATGTCGAAGGATTTGTGGTAAAACTTGGTAAAACTTGTGGTAAAACTTATGATTTAGGTCCCAAACTAAACAATTGGGTTTATGTGATGATTGACAGACCAATGATCGCTTATGGAGCAATTGCCTGGTGGCCGAAAGCTTTACGGAAAACGGCTCAAGCGAAGCTCTCTGGCTTGTTAGGAATCACACGTTAAAATGTAAGACCTACTTAGTCCTTAGCTCGCAAAAGTGTCTCAACTTCTGATATTTGTCGTTCGTATGGGGGCGACAGCTGATTAACGGAAAAACAGATTTTTTTACAGAGACAGGCTTGTCTAGCCATCAGTGGTGCCATCAGTACCACACCGTCAGCGGCCATGGAGATCCTTCTAGATCTAACTTTCCACATTTTTCTGGAGAGAGAGGCAAGATGGACTGCATACAGATTTTCGCACATTGGCAATTGCACAAACCAATTTAATGCAGAGTACAACAGACTGCTTGTTGACACTGGAAGTCACAGCATTCTGGAAATGACTTCTGACTTGATGCCTCCATCTGTCAACTACAATCTGCCTTATAAAGTATTGTTCCCGAGTAGAGAGGATTAGATCCTCCCTGAGAAAGAAATATCGAGGGCAGATGGTTGGTTCACAGATGAATCAAAAACACCTCCAGGTTTTGGTACAGGTGTTTTCAGTCGCAGACCCAGGACAGATATCAACTTGCCTAGGAACCTATGCGACTAGTCAATACAAATATTCTCGGACAGTCAAGCGGCGTTGGAAGCTCTGGGCTCCTACCAAGCGACGTCTAAATTGGTAGCAAATTGTCATAAACGACTCTCCTCGATAGTAAGACTCAACAGATTGTCTCTGGTCTGGATTCATGGCCATACTGGCCTGGAAAGCAATGATGCTGCTGACTCCCCTGCAAAGGAGGGTGCTGCAAGCAGCTTCATCGGACTTGAACCTGTCATTGTCATCGCTTTAGACTTTGCCAAACAAATATTGAACACCTGTATGGCAAGAAGATTTAGGGACTTCTGGGAGAATCTTCTAGGATTGGCTCACTCCAACGTGTTATTCACCCTTCGGAGCTTGATACCAAACAGTTGTTGGACTACAGTAGGGATGAACTACGATGTATAACAGGCCTTCTCACAGGTCACTGCCATCTGAATCATCATATGCAGACCCTCGGACTGTCGGATGACTGTGTGCGTCGCCTCTGTTTGGATTATGATGAAACAGCAGAGCACATACTTTATGCCTGCCCCGCTGGGGACCGGATCAAATTTTCAGAGTTTGGCAAAGCCGTACTCTTACTATCTGACCTGAAAGACAACTAATCGGCTGCGTTAAGAAACTGGGTTTATTTGGTCGATTGCGAATAGGTGTGAACCACAATAAATCCTTGCGTGTTGCGGTGGAGGGTCGAATAGACCCACTCTTACTTAATCTAGTGAGATTATTTATATACATATTAAACGAAACAAATTGCATGAAAACAAGAAACACTTCAGATATCCACGAAAAAACAAAATATTGTTTATCCAAATATTGATAAAATTTAAAAACGACTCTACTGAATAAAAATCATCTCCTGTTTTTTCAAAAAGTAACATTACCTAAATGTAGTTGGATAGTCTATACTATAGAATTTAACGTTTTCGTACTTCTGTTCTTCATATATAATTCTCATTTTGAGACAATCTAACGACTAGTTTCGTTTCAGCCTCTCTCAGGAATTTCGGTACAAGAGTATCTGAACTATTTTCGCGAAAAAAGAAAGAAGTCGCCAAGGAAGCTGAAGACGGTGCAGATCAGATTGAGAAAGTAATCGACAAGAAAACCAACGAAGCTGCCGAGTTAGCTGAAGAAGTCAAAAAAGATGGGAAAAACTTTGCAAATGATATTGGTGAGACAATCATTTTTATTAAAGCTATTTTTCAATTTTGTCAGTTTATCGCTATTTGAAAAAAGCCATTTAGTGAAGTGAAGAACGATCCCAATTTTTTTGCTTTTTTCCCAAAAGTTGTGATGCCAATGACAATGATTTTCATAGCAAATTTTTGTCTAGATATCTCCATCAGTAATGAAGATGAATCAAACGATATTAATGAAAATTAGAATATGAATATTATTATCAAACAGCTGATCAGAAATGGCGGGAAACAGAAGCAGCTGTCGCTCAGAAAGTCAGAGAGACGGAAGAAGCTGCTGAAGCTAAGAGGAAGGCACTTGCAGAAGGATTAAGGAATACTGCGCAAAACATTGACACTAAAATCAAACAAACAGAAAGCGCTGTTCAACAAAAGGCAAAGGAGGCTGCTGATGCGGCAGAAGCTAAGAAAAGATCGTTAGCAGAAGGAGCGCTTACTGCCGCTCAAAGTATTGATAACAAAATAAAAGAAACTGGGGAAGCTATACAACGAACTGCTCGTGCAGCGTCTGAGGAAGCCGAGGCTAAGAAAAAAGCTCTTGCTGAAGGTGTCCAACAGACAGTTCGAAATGTCGACAACAAAATAAAAGAAACCGAAGATAAAATTGGAAACAAGGCTCGAGAAGCAGCCGATGCAGCAGAAGCTAAGCGGCGAGCACTAGCAGAAGGCGTGCAGAACGCTGCTCATAATGTCGATAACAAACTTAAAGAAACAGTAGAAGCGGCCGAAGCAAAAAGACAAGACATAATCCAAGGCACCCAGAACGTAGCTAGAAACATCGACAACAAGCTTAGAGAAACTGAAGATGTTTTGGCAAGAAAAGCTCGTGAAGCAACTGAAGCAGCGGAGGCTAAAAAGAGGGAACTTGCAGCAGGTGTTCAGAACGTAGCTCATAATGTTGATAACAAAATTCATGAAGCGAAAAATGCAGCAGATGCCAAGAAACGTGATCTTGTCGAAGGAGCCCAAAATCTCGCTAGAAATATAGATAGCAAAGTTCATGAAACGGCAGAGGCTACTGAAGCTAAAAAAAGAGAATTGATTGAAGGGGCGCAGAACTTTACAAGAAGCATCGACAATAAAATTCACGAGACATCCGAAGCAGCTGAAGCTAAAAGACGAGAACTTGCTGCAGGAGCTCAGCATTTGGCACAGAACGTAGCGCGAACAGTCGATAACAAGGTGCAAGAAACAGCAGAAGCAGCTGAAGCGAAGAGGAAGGCCTTAGCAGAAGGAGCACTGAACGCCGCTAGAAACGTTGATAACAGACTTCATGAAACTGCTAGAGCAGCTGAAGCAAAGAAAGATGAACTCGCCGAGGGAGCGAAAAATTTTGCAGTAAATGCAGCTAGAAACATTGATAACAAGCTACATGAATCCACCGAGGCAGCAGACGAGAAAAGAAGGCAGTTGGTTCAAGGTGCACATAATTTGGAGAAGGCAGCCCAAGGTAAGCTGTCATTTCTTTGTGATTCAGGCCCCAAATTAGTTTAATCCTATTCAGATAATATAATTCACTCTTGTTTAATATTGTTTTTTATGCTTGAACTTTCATTGGTAATGAAGGGTCATCATTGGGACAAATTGCTCAACTTAACAATGAGTCATGACGCTTCAAACTAGGTTTGGGTAGTGAAACTGATGAACAGTATTTCAGTATTTCAGAAAATCTCGTGGTAAGGATAATATCGGCCACGATAAAGAAAGCAGAGTTTTCACGATCCTGATCTCACGAATATTTTAGCATACTCATCCCATGAGAGAGTAGTGCCAATTCCAGAATGAATTATATAATAAGAAGAGAAGCAATTCTGTGTTTTAGTAGAGATGATTTTAGAATGGTGATTATGGTTTGGATGATTAGAAAGTATACGTAAGTCAGAGATCGTAAATGAGAAGAGATAGGAACGTATTCATATAACACTTTATTGTGAGATTCTCACTTGAGAGTTTTCAAAACTTCTACACGTGTTTCACTATACTACAGCTTCTAGCTATTTCCACGTCGTGTTTTTTTATATTATACTTATTTGAATCCTAATAACTACACTAAAACCTGACAATTTCTATCCAATATATTTTCGATCTAATGCATTTTTTTTGCCATTTTAGGAACAAACTCATCCAACTGGACATAATAAATACAAAACTAGCTGTGACGTTATATTGCATTATTACCGATTTCATCGCGTTACAAAAAAAAATTGTAAATAAAAATTAATCAAATATATTTGGTCATCGAGAAATAGTTCTGAGTTCTCAAATCCATTGATTACTAAGCATTCCAAAACATTGAGTTTCGAACCTTTTTCATCCAAATCACGTTCGAACTCGTGCTCCCCTGTCAAAAGATTTATTATTTTCTATAAATTCACTCAAAATATTGTTTCTTCTAAAGGCTATTTCCAAATATTTGTTTTTCAAGAAATGAGTGATATTATTGGTTAGTAAATTAATGTTTTTTAAAATTGCGTAGACCTGGCGTAACATTGTTTCCGTAATTTTTTTCAGAAAGAATTGAATCAGTGATATCCACCTTCTGAACGTTTTTGACAGCAATGTGTTTAATGAAACCCAGTTCTTGTTGAAAATTGCTTTCTTGTAGTGAAATGTTCAATAATCTGTGAAGCATACTATTGAATGAGGTTACTTTATGTTGATTTGGATGTGTCAATGAATTGTGAATGACAATACTTGTATGAAATTTTTTGTGGAAAATTGCAAGGTCATATTTATTGTTGTAAATCATGTCCTAAATAAAATAACGCCGGCCGCCACTGGAAGCCATAAACCAATTGTGACGTGGCTAAGAACGCGCCCAGTCCGACCAACTTTTCGCGAATGTTCGATATTCGAGTGGCGATAATAATGTCAAATTCTTCCATGGCATTGCGATGAATTTTTTACCACCTTTGATTGCCAAATATAAACGCGTGTACTCAATTATTGGTAAACCCACGGGTATTGGTAACATTTGGTGTCGTAAGTGGAATAATTGACTGAACATTTTCTGATTATGGTGAAAACAAGGAGTGTCAATTACGACGAGATGGAAAAGCTTGACAAAAGGCTTTACAAGCGAGACTGGAGGAGAATGTAAAACACAGAAGAGAGGAAGACGAAGAAAGAAACAGAGAAGAATATCGTAAATTATTGGTAAATATTCAGAGGAAAACAAGAAAAAGACAAGATAAAAAGTGTACCTTCATTTATTTGAAGATTTAAATTCCTCCCAAGTGAGTAGAGGGGAGGTACAGGAATTGATTGGCGAAGAATTTGGAAAAGTATTTCAAAAAACAAAGAAGGGGTTGGAAAAAGTAGTCGATGAGAAGCTTGAGGGAGCTGAAAGGAAACTTGAAAAGAAGCTTAAAGGAGTCGATAAAAAAACAAGGATACCCAGTTACCAGAAGAACAACTTTCCACCAGACGTGACAAAGTAGCGGACAGATGGGAGGACGAGCTTCCCTACCTCCCGCTGCTAAGGGTTCCCTCTCTTCCGGAGGGTAGCAACATGTAAGGGTCCCTTGTCCAGGGATACGGACAGAAAATATGAGGTATCACCTGACTATGGTGTTGTACGATCGTTAACAGCCTCCGAAGTTGACACTACTTTCATGATAAGCCAATATGTCAACGTAGCGCAGAAGGAGGATCCGATCTTGAAAACTGTACAAAAATGGGTTGACAAAGGAGTGGGGCCGGAATGGCAAGATATTTCCAAGAACGGCCAGCAAGATAAGGGTTACTGGCTCCAATGGGACTCCATGTGTATTCGAGATGACCTAGTCACTCGGCAATGGGAAAGCCCGGATGGAGGAACCCACAAACTCCAGAAGATCCTTCCTAATACGTGTATCACGAATATACTTGAACAGCTCCACGATGGTGCACTGAAGGGCATTTCAGAGTAAATAGAACTCTAGCGAGAGTGCAGGAGAGGTACTATTGGGTCAATTGTCGTCGAGATGTGGAAGAGTGGTGTAAGCGCTGTGACCTGTGATCTTAAAGAAAGGATTATTAATTAATTTGTCTCCGAAAACCAAAGAGACTGAGATAAACTGGTTCCTCTCTTTCTGTTGGCATACAGGAGCTCCCAACATGAAACGACAGGTTACACACCATCCATGTTGTTAAGTGGCCGAGAACTGAAGCTTCCCATAGATGTATTGTGTGGTAGTCTAGAGGAACCTAATTCAGAGTATGTGAATGACCTGAAGGAGAGACTGGAAATTTTACACAAATTTGTCAGATCCAAATTACAGCTTTGACAAAAAGACTCTGTCGGTGAGCTTCTAGGAGGGCGATGTAGTGTGGCTCTACCAACCCCAACGTCGGAAATGTTTGTGTCCCAAGTTGCAGATACCTTGGCAAGGATCTCACTTGGTTGCCAAAAAGATTAACGATCTGGTATACATAATCCAAATATCACCCAGAAGCAAGTCTAAAATTGTTCACATAGACAGATTGAGTCCGTACATGGGTCGTGTTGCTCCCTCTTGGAATGTTGTTCGGAGCGAACAACATCAGGAAAGAGGGTAGCGTTGCAAATCATCAGTCAATTATCAGGAAACCCACGGGTAAAAACATAACATTATTAATAGTTTCAGTGATAGTCAAGTCTGGAGAATTTATTGAGCTATTCACTTCTATCCATCCATAAATTTAATCGAAGGGTGGATATTAATGACAAATCAAAATTCAGTACTGATACGATATATTGCATGTCGAAGAGAAAGGTTCAATAGATTGAGAAATCGGAACGATTGTTCAGTGACCAAATAGATTTGAGTAATTTTCCTTTATTGATGATGAAATTGATAATTGGGGTAGATATTAACGAAGGAAATAAGATGTCACAGGTAGTTTTGTATTTATTATATGTCCAGTGTAATGAGTTTGAACCTAAAATAGTTAAATTTTATTATGCAGAAAATGTATTAGCCTGTAATTGTCAGGTAGTACTTAATAGTCATTAATATTCAAATCACTATAATATATTGAAGCTGGATGAAGAAATTGTTACTATTGAAACACGCCTGAGGAAGCTATTGTATAGTGAAACACGTGTCGCCGTTCTGTAAACTCACATTGAAGTGTTATTTGAATACCTTATAATGTATTTTAATTGAGTATCGGCCATTTTCATCACCTATCTGAACAAAAATTATGTTGTTCTTGAAAGTTTCAAGTCAGATTTCAGGATAAAAGTAAAATGTATATCACCTACTAAAGTGATCATATTATTAATGTAGCTATTTAGATTACAGGCATTTTTCTTAATTTTTCGGTAAACTTGCTCAATATATTTGAATAACCAATATATTTAAATGAACCTCTTTTGAATTTCATTTTAGATAAACTCAACCAAGCAGCATATAATATCAATACTGGATTTCACAATGCCGAAATTTCAATGGATAATAAGTTACGAGAAGCAGCCCATAAAACGGAAAATACGCTTCAGCAAGGAGCTGATAATTTACAAAATGCCTTTGATAATACTGTCAAACATACAAACAATTTTGCCAATCAACAGAAACAACAGATGCAGGTAACGTATTACCTACTAAAAGTAAATTGATAGAAATTTTAAATACACTGACCCACCATTCATGATAATAAATACAAATTTTCGTAATATATACATTATTTCCAATATGTGTTTCACTACATAGTAGCCCAACTAAGAAAACTACTATGTAGTCATTATCATGAAATTTATTGAAATTGATATACGAGGTCTGTTAAAAAAATAAGGTAAATTTTCATTTTTGTTTTCTCTGTATTGCGTCTCGCAAGGGGCAGTTCAAGTATTACATAGGCACTATGGGGGGGGGCAGGGGTTCTTATTTTGATTATTTTTTATGAAATGGGGGCGGGAGGTCTAGATGGTTACGTCAGCAGCAGTCATTTACTTTTCTACACATAACTACACATTGTCAAGGTTTGAAAAATGAAAAATGCATATAACAGTGTTTACGTATGCATAGGAGGGGGTAATAGCTTCGCCTAATTTTGCTGACAAAGGGGGCGGGGGTAAATACTTGAAGGCCCCTCAAACGGCGTGTAACAAATAACCAGTCAGTATATTGATTCAGTCTGTGGTGAAAAATGTCTTCGATTATTTCATTGTGAGATTTTCACTTATTAAACAGTTTATAAAACCGCAACACGTGTTTCAGACTTATTCATACTAACTAAATTTCACCTGCTTAGTACTTCATATGATTTGAACTATATGACTTTCTAACTACTCAATACTAATTATTTCACCTGAATTTATGTATTAATTTACTAATTACGTACCAATTTGAACATAGAAGAAGCTATCGTATAGCGAAACATGTGTTGCGTTTTTGTGAACTGTTTAGTGAAAATCTCACAACAATATGTTACTTACATTCGTTGTCATGCATTTTCGTGTCTTCGTACAGTGTACAGTGGGCGTGAAGCTGTATTTCAATGAGAAATGTTTTTTGTTTCTTCTTCTACTGTTACTCAGAGTATGGAGTAAAACTGGTCATCTTCCAACCCAATCGATGTCCACTATGAATTTTGCGGATATATGACCGACGTCCAATACCTATCTGGTGGGCTGAAAAGTTCATAGGGTAACACGGAGATGGCGCCACTAGCATAGAATCCATATTATTTTTAGTTAATCCTAACCTTCAAAAGACACGTGTACAAATTTCACAGCTTACTGTTAATTTGAGTGAAGCAACTTTTGTTAGTTTGAAGAAAATGGATAAAAAGAAATTTCGTGTATTGATGAAGCATTGCTTTTTGGCAAAAAACAATACTGTTGAAACGAAAGCTTGGTTTGATAAACATTAAACAGGAAAATCAACCGTCGAGATGTGGTTTGTTAAGTTTAAACAAGTGGATGCCCGAAAGACGTTGTTACCGACGCGATGAAATCATCAAAAGAGACCACAAAATAATTTTGGATGACCGCAAAGTGAAGTTGATCCAGAGATCTGAGGCTGAAAGGTATATGTTGGACATACCATCCATGAATATTTGGGTATGTGAAAGGTCTGTTCAAACTGGGTGCCACACGAGCTCACAATCGATCAAAAATAACAAGAATTGATGATTCTGAGCAGAGTTTGAAGCTGTTCCACCATAAAAAACCCGAATTTATGCGACGATATGTGAAATAAATGAAACATGACTCCATCATTTCACACCAGAATAAAAAACGATCGTTATCTGAGTGGACTGCACGTGGTGAACTGACTCTAAGCGTGCAAAGACGCAACAGTCGGCTGTATACCTATGTAATGGTATCAGTATGCGCATGGCATTATATTCATAGACTATATTGAGAAGGGAAAACCATCATCAGCGACTATTGGGGCGTTTGAAGGACAAAATCGCGGAATTGGGCTTTGAATTGCTTTCGCATCCAGATTTTCAGATCTGGCCCCCATCGATGGTGAAGAGGTAATCGTCGAAACTGATGTCAATTTTTATTAACACGCTTTTATCAGCTTCACCTGTATGTATGTATGTTTGTTTGTAACTCCAGAATTATCGACATTATTTCTTGATCTATTCGCGGGCAGATGGCGCTGTACGTAACCTCCTTGATATAATTCGAATTCGCTTTACATGTATTTCTTCATGTATTTAGTAGATGTTTGTTTCAATGTCTAATGATGTAATACAAACTATTAAACTCAATTGAGAAATTTGAAATGTTCATCATTTAAGAATATTGACAAGATTTAACTACATAAGTATATGATTCCTTAGGGTGGACTGCAACACTTTGGCCAGACCGTTGATAACAAAATGATGGAAACTGGAAGATTAATGGACAACAAACTGCAGCAAGGATTGAACTTACTTGATGATACCAGAAATAATCTTAACGAAGATTTAGACGAGAGTAATAAAAGAGCACATGCCGGTCTCGATGAAGCAACTGATATGGCTGCCAATATTTTCGGAAAGAGCCTATTACCCCAAAAATAAAATGATAGCGGAAACCTCTCAGAAAAATACTTTAAAAAATTATTATGACCTCGTAGTTTCGCGATTATCTCTTGATTTACAAATGCAGAAAAATGTACGCTTTTCAGCTATTGCTATAAGTATTACTTGATAAATCATCGTCAATTACCTGGTCCAAAGATTGATATTATTTGTTATTACATTGTATGCTTCGTTAGTTCATTGAGTAGATTTAATGTTTATGATTCAGTGTTGCGTCCAGTAGATGTATACGTTTCATTTGTATAAACTAACCCTAGAAATTATGAATGTATATTTGATCTTATTCATTACTTTGTCAATATTTCGGAAATAAGACTCAAATTCGTTATTTTGAAACCCAAAAAGTTTTTTTTCTAAATTGAATAAATTTAGTAGAAATTCGCAAAATTTTATTTAAAAAAAATAGCTTGATTGAAAATATTTCATTCACATCATTAACAATGGGCAAATTATTTCATGTGTACCCAGTGATTCATTTCTATATTCACTCGCAATAGTAAATGGATTTGAACAATGAACTTAGATGTGACCAAAACGTAATTATTGAATGTTGTTACATATGGTTTTAACGAACGGAAGAAATATGTGCCTAACTTTGTGGTATCGAATAGTGTATTTTGGTATTCCTAGAGTATGGTCTTTATAAATAAATATGTAGATACCAAACTCTCATTCAACAAATCCAAGAGTGAAAAGCGAATAGTTCACTGACTCACATTTTCTGTAGGTAATACATCTATTTTTTATACAGATTCTAATGTGCAAAGCAAATATTTTGCTAGTTATTTATTATTCAGGATTGCATGATATTGTTGATACATTTTTTTAATATTTTTTAATGAATTGTTTTTAATGTCTATAAGAATAAAGAAAACCATTCTAGACTTTCATTAATTTGCATTCTAATATTCCTTCTCAATACTCTAAATATCACTTGTTGAATTCAGGTAAACCTTTCTTATATATTTCAGCAGACAAACAATAACAAACCGAACTATCCTAGGTCAACTTTTGGAAGTTTCAGCTCTAAAGATCCATCAACTTGTGCTTTTGAATTCACGGAAGTTATTCTATCATCCATGGATGCATATATTCCTTTTCCAATGAAACTACCTTCTAATGGCAAACCATAGTTCAACAAAAATTGCGAGTAAGCTGTGACGCAAAAATCTCAGTGACGAAAACGAAATAGGTTTGTTAATACTCGCAACAACTGCAAACTTAGGATAAATGAAAGCAAAGAACTTCACAATCAGAGAATTAGGAATAAACTGCTTGCCAATCCCTACAGGTCTAGATTCTTCTGGTCGGTAGCTAAAGCTGTTAATCAGAACTTTACAAAATCCACAATTCCACCACTAATGCAAGCGAATGGTTCAATTATTGCAACAGCTAGAAAAAGCAAATCTACTAGCTGAACAATTTGCGTCTCACTCCGCAGTTGATTTTCTGGCAAAGACACCACCCACTATTTCCACACTAGAATCCACAATGCCGAAAATTATTTTTCGGCAGCGTCTAGTCAGGCGAATTTTGAAACAGCTTAATATCAACAAGGCGTCTGGCTCTGATGAAGTGCCCGTCATCGTACTTAAAAAGTGCGCAAATGAACTAGCACCAGTATTTTGCAGACTTTTCAACCTGTCTTACAAGAAAGGGGTTTTTCCTTCTTGTTGGAAGATTGCTGGCGTTCGGGCTTTTTCCAAAAAGGGCAAGAAATATCTTCCAAATAACTATAGACCAGTCGCTTTGCTATCAGTAATATCAAAAATCATGGAAAGAGAGAAAGGGAATATACTTTATTGTCATAAGAGTAATGTTGTGGATAAAGTTTCACCTAATTTACAATACAGTTTTTATGTAGAAACAAAGTGCATTTGAATTGATCAATTTTCACTTAATACATAAAATCAGTTTGTAAAAATAATAAATAAAAAACATATAAGTCATATATGTTATATATTCCAGCTACGATACAACATATATGATACTGAAAAATAATAAATGAGTAAAAAATTTTTTTTTGTTTGTATATATAAAAACATATAAATCGTACAGGATGCTGGTAAATAATAAACAAATAAGATATTTTTTTAAGAATGTCATTATAAAATTCTTGTATATTATAGTATGGTATATCACTTAAAAAACCTTTCACAGCCTTCCTGAAGCATTGTTAATACTTTATTTCTGTTACATTCTTTGGCAAGTGGTTGAAAATTTTATAACCATTATAGATAATGCAATTCTTCATGACTGATGCCATTGGTATTGGCAACTTAATGTTGTTGGATTGCCTTGTCACATAATGGGTTGTTGGGGATTGAAATTTGTTCAAATATTTCTTAATTAAACACACTGTTTCCATTATAAAGAGATAAATCACTGTTAGAATTCCATAAGTGGTAAAGAGAAAGTCGTAAACCAAACCACCGTATCCTCAAATATTTGAAAGGCTTCAGCATCTTGAGCGAAACAAAGATCAACAGGCGACCTTCGTGTGTCACCCATATTTGGAATAACGCAATCGAGAAACATGGAGAATCAAGAGCTGTTGCGCTTGATATTTCTAAGGCCTTTGACTGTATCTGGCATGAGGGTTTGCTGGCCAAACTTCGATGCTATGGCTTGTTGGATCATTTCTATGTAAGGCTCTTCAGCTTCCTGAAAGAACGTTCCCTGTAAGTGGCCGTCGATGGATATCTCTCGAATACTTTCACCATCAACGCTGGTGTTCCTCTGGGATCCATATTGTCTCCAACCCTCTCTTTATTGTATATCAACGACTCATTGGAAAAAACCAATAATCCAATATATTGCTTTGCTGACGACAGCACACTTGTCTCATCATTCCATTTGGATTCCAGGACATCGCCTACGGAGGCACATCTTCACCGGCAGCAGAAGGTTGCATATCTCAATGAGGATCTAGAAGTGATTTTAAATTGGGGTGAAAGTAACCAGGTTCAAGTCAATGCCACAAAAACCCAGGCATGGGTTTTCTCCAAGGAGATAAATGTCTCCGAACCGGATATAATAATGTCAGGTCAGACAATACCGCTTTCTGCTTCGATAAGTTTGTTGGGGGTTAAAATGGACACCAATTTGGCTTGGCACAATCATGTCACTGGAATCGTAAAGGCTGCTTCTCAAAAGCTTGAAACACTGTATCGAACCAGAAAACTGTACACACCTCAGCAACTTTTGATGCTTTATAAAGCTCAAATCAGACCTTATTTGGAGTATTGTTCTCATGTATGGAGCTCTGCCCCCAAACATACCCTGAAGTTTCTGGATTACATCCAGAAAAGGGCCATCCATCTGATTGGAGACGTGAATATCACGTGAAACCTTGACAGCCTGGAACATTGAAGAAAGGTTGGAGATTTGTCTCTCTTCTATAAAAATACTTTCACGGGAGGTGTTCAAGTGACTTGGTACATTTGATTCCATCAAGAGCGGTACATATCAGAAATACGCGACGGACTGTGGCTGCTCATCATTTTGAAGTTCAACTCAGTACACCTCGAATTTCACTGTTTAAGAACTCTTTCATTTGAAGATCTGCGTTTATGTGGAATAAACTTCCTGAGAACGTTTTTCCAAATTGATTTAATCTCCAGCGATTCAAATCCAATGTGAATCTCTGGGTGGCTCATCGGTGTCCAACCACTGCCCTGAACGTCTCGTGTTGTCGTAGAGGATCCACTTTTCATCACAAGTGACAGTTCGATTCAAAAAAGTATCGTTTTGGTTGCACAAAAACAAAGAAGTATAGACTTTGAAACGTGACAATTTATGTCGATCGTTCAACTCATGGACACCCACTTCTCAAGTTTTTTTACCTTTCCAATACGTTTTAAACCATCAAAAAGCGCATGAGAACTGACGTCCAATTGTTCCGCCATACCAGGAACTGTTTATGATGGGTCAGTCTCCATCACCACCACTTCGTGGTTCATCTTCGGAGCTAAAATCTCCGGAACGAAATTTTGCAAACCAAACGTCGAACAGTGCTTTAAATAACACTGTCATTGCCGATGCCTGATTGATTTTCTGGGCTGAAAAGCTGAAAAGAAGGAAGAAATTAAAATTTTTAAGGAATGATCAGAAATGAAGAGTACAAAATTCTGTATCGATCAGTATACTCGTGTACCACGATACAATAGAAGAAATATTCATGGAGATATGGAGCTACAAAAACACAAGACATTAAAACTGACAAAACTTTTGAAACAAGCTAATATCCTTTGAGTCACGTGAGAAATGTATTGACACAAGTGGAGTTACTCAAAGAATGACGAGATATTAACCATTCAGAATAATTGAGTTGATGTCGATTTTTTCAGTCAAAAGGCAATATTTCCCTAGACAGATTCTCATTTGATCAAAACTGACGTAATTACAACTTTTTTAACTGTATAGTGTGTGATACTGAAAACTATCACGCAAGCCCTCATTAGAAGGGCTAACTGTGTAAAGGCGAAATGCGTGTTCATTTTTTCACCAGTTAACCGATGGATTTCACGAAACTGTTCCTTTTTTCGTCGCTGTACATCGATGAATTCCATAGATCATATCGACTCCAGAGCCGATCAACTGTATGAATTCATGTTAGTTGCATTTATTTATATTTGTAAGTAGTGGTGTGATATGCTTCAAAATATAAAGACAAATAAAAGTTACGAAAATGTTATGTTATGACAATTATAACATTGTCACTTGTTAACTCCGGCCACTGTTCCGTTTCTCATCAAAAATAATCTTCATCGAATTCATCGTGAACAAATTAATGGCCTCATTTGGCAGTGTTTATACGATTGATTCGTGAAATTCATCTGATGAAAAAAGTAACACGCGGAAACTAACTATGTATCTGATTCCAACTGATACAATGTTGTGACAAGGTGACAAAACTGCCCAGTTGTTGTTAACGCCCACGTCTCTAATTCGTGCATCAGATACTGAGTAAAGTTTAATTATTCTGCCTAGTTAGTTCCAATCATTTCTTGAAGAATCATCGTCGACCAATATAACCACATGGTCAATTTTTATGTGATTAAGGTACAATGTATATTCTTTTACCCATCATTTCCAAAAACTATCTAATAGGGCCATCTAATACCATTTGAGCCGTTCTCCACTTGCGACGAAGAATGGTATAATCTGGATTCAACCTTACTATCGATTCTTGCTCTTCATGCTCTACTCAGGAAATGATTAGGAGTAGGGCCCCAAGATTCATTGATCTCGTAATTTTTTTTCAGATTACCCTTTATGCAGACCCTATGGTTCTTTTCTACGTTCCACTCATATTGAGAACACCATGTGGGATGAAATTAAATTCAATTCCTTCAGCTGACGCAACGTTTTCAATTATTGTGGCGTCTATGCTCTGCATTACATTTTGTATTCCCTAAGAAGCACCTAAGAAATCAATCCCATTGTCAAATTGTATTATCCTTGGTTGTACGCTTCGGACTGACCTCTTTGGAATGGCCATAATTGCTGATTCACTTAAGTTCATTATGTTGAACACCCTGTTATAGTCTATACGAAGTCAATTCGAATGGCATGGAAATTAAATAGTTACCGAACGTCGGCAGTTTCTTTGTATGGCATGGGCGGCGTGTTATAATTTACGAGGTCTAATAATTATTTTGATGTGGGAGGTTTTATATGGTATTAACTAGTAAATTTATCAGACCCGGTACATTAGTCTTTCATTTAGCTGTTCGGATTGACTTCGTATAGACTATACTGTGAAAGTCATTTTATATTTTTCATCTAAATATGTAAATATTATTATTACTTTCATCCCGAAAAGGTCGTGCAGGTCACTGATGTCATTAAATTCAGGTAGTGATTACTTGACATATTTAATGAAAAACAAGTTAATACGAAATTGAGAACTTCTAGTAGAAATAATACACTGAACTTTCACTATAATATCCTTAAATTTCACTAATATTTTTAACGGCAACTTACTAATGCACTACATGTAACGAACTGTACTCTATCGAGGAACAAACATTATTGAATCAATAATCATTCCTATTTCCCTATCGCTAACTAATACCTTACTCAAGAGTACAAATGAATACTATTGTATCAAAAGAAACAATGTGTCATCGAATTTCTATCTACAGCCATCATTTGCTTCCATCGACGCCGTCGACAATAATGCCAGTTCACAAAAGTGTGTCCTAACTTACTTTGTTTCCCAGTAACGGGGTGTCAATGTTTTACTAAAAAAATGTTCTTTTATTAATAACTCAAAAAATTTTCCCCGATTTTATAGAAACATGAAATTGAATTTCGGATAATTCCAGTTGTGTCACACAGGGTTATCTGATTGATATTTATGGTAAATATCAGTGTACGCCACTGTTTTTCTCCAAGTTTGATGTTTTCATCAGATTGAACAACCAATAAGGAAGAAAGCAATTGAAGACAAGCTTTTATTTTACACAAATGCACCAAATTGGATGAATTCAAAAATAATACCAACGATAAGAGTCACTTGTATCGTGAAATTTTCTGACAGTAGGTGTCAAGTAATATCTTCAAATTGTTAAAGCATGGAAACACGGTCGTATTAGTACATACTACCACAGAATGTCATATTCTATGGTACTACCAAGTATAAATGAACAACTCTGAATTGAGTGAAATGCATTTCGTTTATGGACTCTATCGAGAAAAATATTTTCCTTATTCCTGTCGCTTGAATAACAATACATAGATGTCGCCCACTCCGTGATCCTCCCGCATATATCATAATTGGCTGAATGTTCTGAGTATGCCCAACATAAAAAAGAAGATGTAGGGTATAATAAGAAGAAGAATAATGTTTGATTTCAATTTTAAATTCAATTCATTCATTTGAAACCTAAACATTTTCAAATCCTAAAAAAGCCAAGGAAAGATTGTAGTATTTGAATAATATTAGTGCCGTCATCTTAAATTTGTGAATAATAAAATGACCAAGAAACGAAGATTGTCGGGTTCAAGTCCTGTTAAAATTGAAGTAAAGGAAGAAAATACTATGGGCAATGATTATCTCATGGCAAAAGGACGTCTCAAAGGGGTTCTGAAACAGCTCACGGAACAGTCTTCGGAAGAAAGTGATTCTTCAGAAGATACCAAAAAAAATCAAAGGTGTGTATTGCTTAGAATTCACCTTATCATTTTGTTCACCAAATGACTAATTTTTCTGACAAATATGAGGAGTGAGTTCAGAATATTCCTTTCTAGAATTAATAAACAAATTATAGAAACCTAGAAATTTACTGAACTTCGATTCATTCTTCAAAACAGAGATACAAGTATTTTTATCTATTTCATAAATCTTAAGACATAAATATAAGGAAATGAATACTACTTCCCCGGCTAATAACACGCTGGATATTGAATTATATCCGACAGACATTTATGCAAGATTCCTCGCAGAGGCTATTTGAATAATTTTGGCATGAAACTGCTGCTGAATGAACGAGAAACATCTGCGAGACTAGCATAAATGTCTGTCGGATATAATAAAAGATCCAACGTGGTATTATCCGGGAAAATAGTTGTCTTCCTATAGATGTTTACCAGATCCTACTGTGTAGGTAGATGGGAGAGATTTTTTTCCTTATATGTATGTATCTCTCCTCGATAGTTTTCAGTTTAGATTTCTGTTAAGGTATAAATATTCATATATATCTTAGATCATCAATTTTGATTGCTAGAGCTATCTCATAAGTTAACAAACATATTATTAATTCAGTAGTATGTGATAATGGATGGAATAACCCTGTACAATTCAAATACACTAAAAGGATTTTTTTCTAAGCATTTTTTTCTGAGTCAACACCAAGTGCTGTGGAGTTGATGCTTTAAATCTTAAAAATAAGAAGTTTAAACAAGAATAAATATTGTGGCATTATTGAAAAAATATACCTTTGTAGTTGTCTTTCTTCTTCTCCAAGGAAGCTTGGTGTTTCAGGTCGAGAAGGTTTTTGGGCCTTCAATGCTTCCCAGATATCAACCTACAACACAACTTGTGAAATGTTGAATTATGTTATTTATCAATTAAAACCAAAAACTGTTAAGCACTAACCTCGTCCTTCTCTGTGCCTGCATCGATGAGGCTTTGCTGTATTGCAAATTGAAGTAAATCATCTTCCTCTTCCATGCTGAATTGGCGTCGTCCGTCAATACCTGTTGATATAAAAAACATTACTTATCATTTGAATGTTCATTTATAGAGAATGATCCAAAAAGAGAAAGAAAGTAATAAACAGAGTGAGGCTTTAGCAAAATGATTTGTCATTTCATGATTATTGATTGTAGTTTGTTTTTAATAAGTTTTAAACCTTTCACGCTGTCAAGAGTGATTAGAATCTTCAGGAGTACAAAGACCAACTTGGTACTGAAGATGCCAAGCACTCAAGTCTGCGAAACATTGAGAAACTTGAAACAAACAACTGTCAACAATGATGAAAAACAACAAACAGAATAAAATAGAAAGTATCCTTGAGGAAGGAAATCGCTGCTCTTGATGAACTAAGTTGTCAATCATAATGGGAATAAAATAAATGAAAAAGCAATTTCATAAATAAAAAAAAAACACAACAAATACTTATACCGAANGGGGAAAAACAAAGCCCCAGGCATTGATGGGATTGATGCAGTTCTGCTCCGCAACCTACCGCGAAAGGGTATCGTACAACTGGTGCATATTGTGAACGCAATAATCAAGCACCAGCATTACCCAGATTGTCTGAAACATGCGGTGGTAGTGCCCGTTCCGAAACCAGGAAAAATCAAAACACGTATTGATAGCTACCGACCGATCTCGCTTCTCAGTTCGGTCGCGAAGGTTATTGATAAAATCATCCTAAGCAGACTTCTCCGCCTGGAAGATAGGATGAAACTCATCCCCGAGGAGCAATTCGGGTTCATTTTGCTCATTGCCATAAGAAACTATAGCGTCACATTCAAAATTATCATTTCTATACTGTGTCAAAGCTATTTTTTGATTTTTTAGTCTGGAGGTTTTAATGCCTGAGTTTCATTTACAACTGCAGTATCAACGACGATGAGGCAGTAGACTCAGTACTCTGGTTGTCCTCATGGTGCATAATACTTCATTCAGTGTCTCAGTCTCTGGTTTTATTTCAATGGTAGTGAGGTTCTATTCTATTGAGTGAATCCAATGTTTCTTTTCCTTTCGATTGAAATTGTCTCTATGAATTTGTATGGCATCCCTATATAATCACGTGAGTACACTCACCTTAGGTTATTCGAAGAGTCACAAGTAATTGACATAACTCACAATTACTGTCCAAGTATATGGAAGTGCTATGATATCATAAACACATATAATTTCTATGGAAAGAAGAGGTAATTAATATAAAGTCTGGCTACCTATGCTAAAAAATAACAAATCAGGTCATTTAAGTCAACTAAAAAGAATGAAGCCAAGCCCACCACCAATGGAATAAAACCAGAGACCCAGACATTGAATAAAGTATTACTTATCGTAAGGACAACCAACGTGTGTTATGTATACCGCAGTTATACACGAAATGACAGGCATACAAACCTACAGATCACAGCCAACAAACCCAAAAACAAAGCCTTGGCAGAAATATATCCGACCGTCAAAGTTTGCACTCTGTTGTTGCCTTAATTCATTGTAATATTCGTTTACACAATTATAAATGTAAAACTCTTTGTAATGACTTGGGAATAGAGAATTGAACTCAGGTAAACAATTCAAAAATGTTTAAAAATGAAAATTATAAAAAAAATTAAAGAGAAACTTTTATACAAATGAACTAAAAATGAAAAAATTATTTCTTTCATTGTTTTCACATTTTTGTTTCAAATTTCACTACTATTTTGATGATAGATTATATATTGCATTATCCGTAATCTCAGTATCAGTAAATATCTGTCTTTTTTCATAAGTTCACAAAATATTTAAGTGTTTGTATAGCTCTCTATCAGTTGACAATTATTCATTGTAATAGCAATAATACAATACAGTTAGTTCATTGTAATTGACTAGTAGCATTGTGACATAAAAGTTGTGATATTTATTACTTCCATCTGCAATAATCATTATTATTTTGGGTCGAAATGATATTCAATATAAAAAAAACAGTTTCTTATGGTAACTAAATTTTGAATTCAGACTCAGTTAAATAAGATTTAAAAATAGTAAGCGTGAAAGCAGAACTTGTATTAGCTCTCTTTTCAACGCATACCTCCTTCTAGCACTTTTTTTTCTATTACAGTTTCATTATCTTTTTTAGAGAATCCTCAATGTTGAAGTCAAGTTCTTTCTCATAATTATGATCCAATTCTTAACAATCCATTGATTCAAGACCTGTTGTTACACATACAAAATCGACATTTTTATGTGACTCTCTCAATGTAGTGAGAGAAAAAAATACATGGTGTTGAGTGAGTTGTACCCATGTTCATATTTTAAAAAAATATTTTTTGTCGATATAAAAATAACGATGTTATAGAACATTTAATGTGATTAATATTTTTTCATAAATACTTTTTTTTTCCTTTCTCACATTGCATACAAAGGGTACTTTCAACAAAGAGAAGTTAATTTGATCGTGCTAATAATTTATCTCGTTTTTTTTTCAGAGAATTCTCAAAGAAACGTCCAATTGAAAATATGCCTACTCCCTACCATCATACCTACGTTATGAAACTATATGACAGAAGTGTAGATTTAGCTAGGTTCGAGGAGGATACCCCATTGTACCCCATCTGCAGAGCATGGATGCAAAACGTTCCCCAAAATCCACAACCTGTCATCAAGTAAGTTAACTGTTTCTGATTCACACTGAGGTAATTCGGAAGGACCTCAGTTTTATAATTAGAACAATTTTGCTCATTGCCATAAGAAACTATAGCGTCACATTCAAAATTATTATTTCTATACTGTGTCAAAGCTATTTTTTGATTTTTTAGTCTGGAGGTTTTAATGCCTGAGTTTCATTTACAACTGCAGTATCAATGACGATGAGGCAGTAGACTCAGTACTCTCGTTGTCCTCATGGTGCATACTACCTCATTCAGTGTCTCAGTTTCTGGTTTTATATCAATGGTAGTGAGGGTGGTTCTATTCTATTGAGTGAAGCAAGTGTTTCTTTTCCATTTGATTGAAATTTTCTATGAATTTGTATGGCATCCCTATATAATCACGTAAATGCCTTTTTTGAGTGCATTCACCTTAGGTCATTCGAAGAGTCACAAGTAATTGACATAACTCACAATTACTGTTCAAGTATATGGAAGTGATATGATATCATAAACACATATAATTTCTATTGAAAGGAAGAGGGAATTAACATAAAGTCTGGCTACCGATGCTAAAAAATAACAAATCAGGTCATTTGAGTCAACTAAAAGGAATGAAGCCACGCCCACCACCAATGGAATAAAACCGGAGACCCAGACATTGAATAAAGTATTACTTATCGTAAGGACAACCAACATGTTTTTTATGTATACCGCAGTTATACACGAAATGATAGGCATACAAACCTACAGATCACAGCCAACAAACCCAAAAACTAAACCTTGGCAGAAATACATCCGACCATCAAAGTTTGCACTCTGTTGTTGCCTTAATTTATTGTAATATTTGTTCACACAATTATAAATGTAAAACTCTTTGAACTCAGGTAAACAATTCAAAAATATTTGTTTTTTGTAGTGAATACTTCGGTTGAGAACAAGTTCATGAATTACTTTCATATATGAATTAAGAAATGATCAACCCTCTTTTTTATTTTTCCTCAGTTTTGCATTGACACTAGGCACCACCTTGCGACACTGATCCTCTCAAATTAAACTATATCTCTTTTTTAGGAGAAGATTATCTTCACCAGAACCATCAACGCCCAGTTGGAATGATTCGATATCTGATCTGACTAGACTACCCCCTCCTACTGGTCCTGTTGATACACGAATTCCTTCGCCACTTCCTGAACAACAACAAGATAGAGATAACATCAATTTGAACTATGTGAGTTGATTGAAACCTTGAATTACAGTATACCTTATAAACTCTACACACCAGAGACAATCTAAAATTATCTTATGTATAAATTTTCACACTTTTTGGAGAACTGAAGTGTACTCTTAGTTTATTGTTATAAACTAAGAGTACACTTCCGTTCTGCTGATCACCCAAAGATAGTTCCTAAGTTTTGTTTCTAACTAGTCACCAAAGACTGTCCTTGAACTATATATATACATAATGTACATGTCTTACCATATGTACATATGGTAAGTCAATAATTGTAATATATTATAATATATTTTCCCATACAAGAATAGGTTTACAGCTATCACCATTATCCATATAAAAAATCAGTCTTATAATGCGCTTTTGGGCAATAAATATATATTCTATTGAAATCTCTACCACATCCCCATGATATTTTATTCAAGGAAATATACGTAAATAATGCTGCATTAAGTTTCTTGCAAACCTCATCAATATGTAGATCCCAATTTAAAGATTCATCTACATGGTTCCTAGAAATTGAACATCATGTGCCATGGCTATTCCATCAGTTATATCAACTCCATCTGGAATGTTATTTTTTCTATTGTAAAATTTAATTGAAACAGATTTGGAGGTATTTAATATCAAATGATTGCATTCACACCATGACGTAAATCTATCAATAATCTCTTTGATTCTTGTTAATACATCTTCCAGTGTAGACCCAGTGATTGTCATTGTGGTATCATCTGCAAACATAGTTATGTAGCAACATGTTCTGAGAGATCATTAACAAATACCACAAAAAGTAAAGGTCCCAGTACTGATCCCTGAGGAACTTCTAATGTCACATCATGTTCCTTGGGCACAATATTGTTATATTTGACTGTCAAATGCCGACCACTCATATAGGATTTTATCCAAGTCAAAATGTTATAAGACTCTCTGACTTTATATATAGAAACAGTGTCAAATACCATTGACAGATAAAAAAAATACTAATTACAAAACTATTGGCATCAACTTCGGAGTATATGTTATTGAGATAATCATAGGCAGCGGTTTCTATGGAACGATCTTTCCTAAATCCATGTTGATTATTACATAGTATATTATTTGACTCTAAATAATTCACTATTCTAGTAGCCACCACTTTTTCATACAATTTCGAACGAGAACAAAGTAATGAAATTTGTCGGTAGTTATTCAGGTCATTTCTAGTTCCTTTTTTAAAAATAGGAATGACTAAGGCTTTCTTGAACTCTTCTGGAAAGTAGCCTAGCATGTAGGATTGATTCATTAGATAAATGAAAAGAGATACAAGGTACTGTTGTACAAGGTAATGTTAGATTTTGACCTATGTGTGTGGAAATAGCCGTTTTAGCAGAATTTGCAAAATGATGGGCAAATAGGTCTGCTACAGCAGAAGGGTGTTTAACCACAACTGATTCATGATGGAGAGTGATAACATTATCAGCATAACACTTTCTTTTTCTTTCCAACTCGTTTACTATATTCCACGTTTCTTAGTTTTGTTACTGGAATTGTCAATTTTAGAGGAAAAGTAACTATTTTTTTGCTTAACGTTACTCTTGTGTTGTTTCAGCCTAGATTTGTATACTACCATATCACTAGGGTCAACTTCTCGATCAGTTGTAATTAGATGGAACATATCTCTTAGATATTTTCCTTCCTGGGCAACATCGTCAGAAATCCAGTTATTATTAATGCCCTTGTTTACAACAGTTTTGTTTTGGGGCATAAGGCATCAAAACACCAAGAGAGGGACTCTAAGAAAAAAGAGAATCCATCATCAATAGTTATATCACATAACATTGGAAACCATATTGTAGTACTGGGTCTAATTCTTAATTCATTATTGCTGCTAGTATTGACACGTCTTTTTACTATAACTGATTTAACAGAACTTTTTTTTTTCATTATTATTACTTTTTGTTTTAATGTCAATTTTGACAGGTTAAGGAAATCACGTGACCTATTTTGTAGACGCCATTTGACATCATTTCTTAAGCAAAATCTACTGCCAAAATAAAAATTCACATAAAACGATAAATAAAAAAGTTTCCCATTTGATGCGGACTTTATCGGTGACACTGTATATATATATTTGCAGAAAATTAGTAACTTTGTCAATAAGACCTGAAGTTTTTTGGACAATAAAGCATGTTATTATTATTATTAAAAACCTGAAATGACAAAATAATCTCACATTTTAAACTTGTTTCAGGAGGAGTGTCCACCAGTTGCTAAAAATATTTTGATGCAAATGCACCAGGAGAGGTGGGCTAAAGTAAGAAAGAAATGGATTGAAACTGCCTCAAGAAATGAAGCAAGATATTCTAGAAGTACACAGGCTCTTCACACAATTTATAATAAGTAAGTTTTATAATATCATGAACACTTGAAAACCGGTAGTTATTTTTTTGGTGGCGAGAAGTGAATTTATTGATACCTTACCTTTTTACAGAGCTCAAGAGGAATCATCCTGAAACGTCAAGGTTAGAAAAAATTAAAGACTCCTGTATGTTACTTTTTTAATAAATAAGATACTGATTTTTTTATTCCTAATTTGACAGGACAGTTCGTTTTAAACAATAAATATAGGAACTACAAAAACTAATATTAAAAATTATATAGATTGGATTGAAGTTATAAAATAAAAACATAAAATTTATACATTGCTTGATTCAGCTTAAAAATTATATAATCACATATCACGAGACTTTTATCAGAAAACATCAATTTCTGCTGCTCTGGTAAGTTAGATAATATAGATAGAATACAATTAATGAGGTATGTAAAAAAATGATATTCGTTACAAAATGTATCACCATTATTTAATTAGAAATTTACCAGTCCTTCATCTGTTTGTTTTTAGATTGTCACATATAGGTTACAGAATCCTCTTCAAGCTATAATTTTAGAAATTTTATTTTCTCCCCATGATATTTGAACTTAGATGGATGATATTTTTTGTTCAGCTGAAAAGACTGGTACAGTTTACATTTTAGTAAAAGAATTTTTTAAAGTAACCTAATCTTAGTCAAAGCTTTAGTACTGTTATTTCTCAGTAAGTGACAATGCCAATATTTCTTCCAACAATCTCTGTTCCTCTAATCTTTCTTCTTCCTCCCTTTGTCTCTTCCTTTCCTGATCTTGTTGTGACAATAACAGTGCCTTATGAAATTCTGAATCTGTGTCGGGGCTGTTGTTTTGTGGCTCAAGATTATTCACGTCGTGCTGATAAAGCTCTAAGCTGGCTTGAATTGCTCTACAATAATATTTCAAACTAGCAACTANTTTTTAATTTTTTTTTTAAGATTCCAATTATCATGGTCAACTCCTTTAACATGTCATCACGTTCTGGGAATGTTTTCTCAAAACACCCTTAGAAAAAACACTGGAATGAATGATCAAAAATTTTCAAGAAACTATGATTATATGAGAAGCGAATGAAAGCATACTTCAGAGGTCATTTGACGAGCTATTGTTCAAGCAATCAGTAGAGTAAACTAAATGAATGAAATTTAATGTTTAATGAACTAATAATTCACTTGTCTAGTTGAATGAAACTTTCAATATGTTGTACCGACCCACGAAAAATATGGAACCCAATATAAACATGGGGGACACAACAAAATAAGGAAAATTATTCAAATAAGGATATGAAAGAATATGCTGCTAATTGATTTGAAAGGGTGAAGGAATTGAGAGAGATAATAGAAGAAGGAATACAAAATAAAGCTTGAATTACGAATGGAAACACTAATAGTATAAAATGCTAAGGAAAACTACTAAAATCCATTTGTGTATCAAAAGAATGAAACGAAATAATATCGATTCATGCAGGTAACAAAAGGTTAGGGCTGAGATTAACCAATAAGGACCAGAAATGTGACAAATCAAAAATAAGAAACATAAAAATTGAAAGTGTGGTGAATAATCAGTGAAGGTTTATTTAGAAATATTAGATAATGGTTGCATCACTGAATATTTTTTTTGTCATACTTCAAAATTCATTGATATTTGTGGATTAGATACAATCCGAATAATTTTTGCAATCGCTGTTTCATGGCAAAACAAGTTAATACACTGCTACTTAACATTTTCATTTGTGTTTGTGCAAAACTACATGCCGAATACCCTCAATCAAGGGTTTTTTTATCCAGCTTTCAGTGGCAGTAAGAAAACTCCAAAAAGCTGAAAAACCAATAGATCAAGGCTCGTCAGAAACCTATCATCTACGCCACTGACCACATGTGATTATTTATTTCTTGTTAGATTTCGAAGGGTAACCATTTGTAGATAAACTGCTAACACAGATGAATTGTTATTTATTTTGCTGATTTCAAAAAATGTACCACTGCTCAATAGTTAAAAGCATTGAAACATGCGGTGGTAGTGCCTGTTCCGAAACCAGGAAAAATCAAAACACTTATTCATAGCTACCGCCCGATCTCGCTTCTCAGTTCGGTCGCGAAGGTTATTGATAAAATCATCCTAAGCAGACTTCTCCGCCTGGAAGATAGGATGAAACTCATCCCCGAGGAGCAATTCGGGTTCCGGCGAGGTCGGAATACGACATCGCAACTGGTCCGGGTTGTTCACGGGGTGAGGGAGTCCTTCANTTTTGGTTTTGATTAAACATATTATGTTTTGTGTGACACTATCTGCCTATAGCTTCCAGCAGTCATAATCAAAATTAAGCTCTTATATAATTGGTAAGTCCCTGTGGTCACGAATTTTGAAAACCTTAGTCCATTCATCAAACTATTTAGGGATTATCGATCACAAAGAAAAGTTGGCCAGATAGATTGGATAGAAAAGCAGTAACAGATATAAAGAAAAGGTAGATGACAATGAAGTTAGAGTAACCAATTTACAAAAAGAATAATGGTAGGAGTTAAAAATGTAAAGCATGTTTCAGAATATTCAAAAATATAGTAAGAGTAAATATTTGAAGTATTTGGTAATATTTTGTAAGTTATATGTAAAACAAAATTAGAGTTCCAATTTGGTAATGCTAAATAATTACATGATACATCTGGATTTGAAAAAGTATAAAAATTCTCTTAGTATTATTTATAAAAAACATTCATTAGGCCTACCTATCTTTACAGGAAAACCAGACGGCAGCTGCATTTGAATGAAATCTTTCAATTTAGCAAAATGTGAACTAGATATGGCCATCAAATCGACAATTGGAAGAATTTGTTCTGGAAGAGACAGTGGATAATTTTCACATAGCCACAGGTTAGCTTTGAATTTCTGAACTTTAACATTGACCTCTTTTGGGCGTCCTATATCTCTGCCCTGAGCTTCCAAATCCACAGAACAGTCAAAATATTCTTCCGGAGTTATGTTGCACGGATTGCTAGAATTGCGAAATTCTTCCTGAAATCATTTTGTTTATTTATGTATTACAATATTATGAAATTAACTAACATTGTTTGGAAGCAGTGCAGTTGCTTGACTCTCTCCGACTTCTGCAATACCTAAGAAATTCTGCAAGGGATGTTTGTTATTTTTGCTTCGAGCCTTATCTGTTTCTGTTAAATGTTCGGTTCTAGTTTTTGTGATAAGTTCTACGTTAGATGCACCAAATACTTTACATTCATATCCATTTATCATTTCAGTCTTATCCGACCTCCAACCCCACATCCCAGCTTTATTCCTGAAAGAAAAAGTAAGAACAGTTGTGAAGTTTGCAATAAAGTGAACTGACCTTTCAAAACTGATTTTTTCTGTGTCGACATAGGTCGTAACTATAGGTGTGGTTAATCGTTGAGATACAGATTCTTCATTTGGTAATAACATTCCTAGTGAATCTTCTGTAGTACGCATTTGCTCACAGTACACTTGCTGAGTGTCATGGTCGATTTCCATCATAGTAGCACCATCATCTGAAGAACCGTAATTTCTTATGAACTGAATGGAAGACAGGCAGATAATATTTATGAACTGAATGGGAGACAGGCAGATACTATATCAGGCCTTGAGATATGTCTAGCTTACAAAGCGGTAATTATTTCAAATATTGAAAATGCGACAGACAGTTCTGACTTTGCCTTTTAATTCCGTCAATCAGATAATGAATTAGATGATTTCAAATCAACATTCAAGAACTTATGAAAAAGTGTTCAAGATAGAAGTCAAACTTCATTTTGCAACCATATTTGGTTCTAAGGTAGCACATCTTCCACTGAGCTAACTCTTCTACAGAAAAAAATCGTATTTGTAGGTCACCTTAACATAAACAAAAATATATATTTGTAGATGATACATTTCAATAGCACACATCTATAGTAGATCTATGGAATTGATATTTGATCATGAATGTTATGGTTTTGAACTCAGTATCATCTAAGCAAAGTACTAAAATATGTTCTAGTATTGAAAAAAAATAATAATGATATTTGTTCATAAATAAATGACATGTGAAATGTTGGTGAGAGATGGTAATACTTGTACATGGTATGTTTCATTACTAGTGATGAGAGAAATCGCAATAGAATTTTTGTTCCGTGAGTTGGAGTCAAAGTTTTTATTGTGAATATAACTTATGGTCATGCAAAATACTTTTACCTCTTCTTTAAACGACATTATTCGTGAATGACTCAATATTTCATAGTGTTTTTTTTTGGATTTATAACCTTCCACAATCTGAAAAAATTAAAGATAATTCAATAGAGAATCTGCTGAAGTGTAGTAAAGCACAAACTGAAAAGTTCACCCTGAAATGTTACTACTGCTTAATATATAATACTGGAAAGTCCAATTAGTAGGTAACTTGTATTCATAAATTTTGCCTACAAATTGAAAAAATCAATCCCAAAAATTAAATATTTATATTTAGCTTTCTTAAGTGGTTAACATTTCTGAAAACAATCCTTTTCCGTTTTCAAAACCTGTATTCACCTTCATGAACCTTAACTGAACTGAATTCTCAAAAAACAAGCATTTTGTGTGTTCATGTAGACTGTCACGTGTGACATTCTCTTTCTGAAATGTTAACCACTTGATATTTAATTTTTTCAATTGATTTTTTTCAATTTGAAGACAAAATTTATGAAAAGGACAAATTACTGACTGATAGGACTTTCCAGTAGTTTATATTACGCAGTAACTTTTCAGGGTGAACTTTTCAGTTTGCCGTTTACTACTTCAGCAGATTCTCTATTGATTTATCTTCATTTTTCAGTTTGTTTAAGGTTATAAACCCAAAAAAACAGTATAAAACTTTTACCTCTCTTCTCAATTCCGTCATTAAAATTTGAGGTAGATTTAATTTATTTTTTATTTAAAAAATGATTGGGAATGACGGGTTGAAAAATTAACGAGGTTTGACCTTTCAACATGCGATTCCCTGCACGGCAATATGCTTTGTTTATTTCTAATACAATGATGGAAAGTTATTCAGAGATATACGAGTATTTGTTAGACTAAAAACTGAACTCAATAAGTTTTATTAATAAATTTGTTTCTAGAGTTAAGCATCATGAAAAAAACTGACATTTAATTAATCCAACATACAATAATTTGTCTCTTGATTCAGTTCCATAGTAATGATAATGATGTGTTTTCATTTCCCCTAATACCATTTGTACTAGAGTCTGAATTTAATATTACGAAGTTGCTCTTCTATGTAACCCAATAAGTACAGTCCATTCCGAATATTTCTATGATAGTAATGATGTCTTTTCAATTGTTGACAATCATTAAACATACAAGACATCAAAAATAATTCACTTAGAGGATTTAAAATAATTGTTTTTTAATAATAAGATCACATAATGCAGTTTTTTTGGTATTCATACCAACAACACATTGAATTGACAATTTAAAGTTGATTATGTCAATGAATTATCTAAAGTTACTAATGACATTTATTTTGTTTTTCACTATAAGAGGTTTACAAAACTGTGACAAGTGTTTCACTATAAAATAGCTTTCTTATACAGGATTGGCCTGGTCCATTCAATTAATATATTATCTATATATCACTACATTCTGTGCATTTACTTTGGTTGTGTCTGCGAAAGTGTGTATTTTCTGAAAGTAGATATCAATTAAATGCTTTTCTATTTTTTCCTATAATTCAATATGAGAAGATGAAACAAATATCAAGATCAGAAGCAAATAAAACATCTGCTCTACAATTTTGAATTATGTGTGCCCATCAAAAAACGAAGATTTGACTAGTAGTCTCTCATTATCTCATCATTACTTATCTGCTCTTCAAAAAATCTTTCACAATTTTTGTCATCGACTTCTATGGTCATTAGCATCGTGTTCTGAGCAGGTAATGTTAATGACTTCACAAGTCACTTAGGAAGCATCATGGCTATTCACAGTTCAGTCAGCACTGCAATGTAGCAGAATCAATACACCTTTATCCAGATAAATTCTTACGAGAAAAATATCTGGTTAAAGACGGATTCCAACTCATCACTATTGAATTGAGAGCTAGACACGCTACCACTACGCTAATTCATGACTCTATGTCACAACTGAATTAGTCATTTGAAAAACCCCTCTTGTTCAAACACATTTCATTGTTAATTAACAGATTCTGATTTTTTTTTACACAAGTCTTGTTGTCCAAAATTGTTAATATAACAATTTGGCAGGTTTAGAAATAATTTTGGTTTTTCCACAAGTTTCAGTTTGCAGACAAGTAGAGTTTTTCAAACGATTGATTCGATTACAAAACAAGAAGCAGGAATCTTTCATAGTTATAACATTGTATGAGGATATTAAAATTTATCTCAGGCAGGTCAAAAATTATTCAATTGTATAATTTTTAACTCTTAGTATAGAGTTGATTGCAACCTTTGAATAGTAATCAAAGAATATATTTTAGTATAAACTATTCTGCAATAAATTGTTTTCTTAGTTAATTCGGCTAATTTTACTTCTGTAGTTTTGGTGGTATTTTTATAAATTTATGTTTTATTTTTGATTTCCTTCATTGATGAATGATCATCCTAATAAATATCTAACCCCAAAATAAAATTCAGGCTTAGAAAGATTTATTATTATTGGTATTGGTAAAAAACTTGATAATACCTTATCAGTTTCTAAAAAATTGATTTTTTTTATACAGAATCGTTTTGGTCATTGGCATATGTCATTTACAAACTCATCAATTTTTCTACAAAAAACATTAACAATAGGGTGCAAATGCATGTGCAAAATTTCATCACGAGTATACAGCAACATATTTACCAGGTTTGTTAAATGTTCTCAACTTATAAACATAACTTCTTTCTCCTCTGATTGGTGAGGAAATCTGAATAGCTTGTAAATCAAATGTCAGTACACCATTAAGTGAAAAAGGAAGTACTTACTATGCCCTTGAAAAACATAACTTCTATTTCCTCTCTGCCAGCTGGTGTGGTCAAATCCCAGAAGGGTAGTATCTATTCTAACACTAGATCCTTGCTTATAAACTTTATAAGTATCACTTGGGCACATTCTAGATACCAATGGAACTGAAACAACATATTAAATAAAGAATTTAAACTGAATAAAATTCACTTGGGCACATTCTAGATACCAATGGAACTGAAACAACATATTAAATAAAAAATTTAAACTGAATAAAATTCACTTTGAATTATAAATATGGCTTATAATATAATCTTTACCCCAGCTGGTGAATTCCCATTTCATTTCAACGTAAAAATCAGGAGCTTCTTTTAATCTCTGAAGTAGTTCAGGAATACCTGCCATTCGGCTTGTATACCGCTGAAAATCTCTACTTTCCAAAACCATTTGTAACAATTCTGGATCCCCAGTAGCCACAGCTTCTTGAACAACTGATAATAGAAAATCAAAAATTAGTCATTTTTTGACCATTTTAAACATACTAATTGTTTCATGGTCATATCATAGTACAAAATTTTGAAAGTATACTATGCCAATCAGTTGGCAGACTATACAACTACTAACAAATTCTTCATGATCATTTCTAGCCACTGTTTTACTACACCAAAGTGTGCCATGATGCATCTGGGGATGCCACAAAGAGTCTTCAGGGGATGGGCAGCTATCTCGCCAAAACAAAAATTGACCATTATTATTATTAGAATTTTATTAAATCACTTTTTAGCTCTTTATTACAATCACAAAAAAGACCATTATTTAGGTTTTGAAACCTAACATCACTTCAACAGTTTTGCTTAATATTAAGCACTGTCCTATTACTGAACTATCAGTTCTAGATACCGATGATGTTTTGTAAATTATACTTTTGTAAAAGTTTGCCAAAAAATGTTTTCAGAAGTACAATATTTTAGCTAAGCTGCAAGCTAGATTTATTTTGAATAACAATAAAAATCTTAGAAAAGCTGAAGACGAAACTTAATGAGCTTAGTTGAAGAATTATTCATAATCTCATTACCCACCTGTCCATCCCTTCAAATTCTCACAGTTAACATTGGCTTCAGAATTCAATAACGTTCTGGTGGATTCTAGATGTCCCAGGGTTACAGCTAGCATCAAAGGAGTTCTTCCCCTATTATCTTTCTTTTCCTTATCATGCTTTGAAGAAAAACAAAAAATTGATGATCATTTTGAAATGGCTTCATAGAATACATATGAATAGGTTTTTCAATATAATATACCACTATTTATACGAAACTTTGATTAAAATATGAACAAGTAATCAAAAGATTAGTCACCTACCTCCTTTCTTGAAAGAAGATCTCTTAAATTTTTGTAATCATTGTACCAAACACACCAGTGTAGTGGATATTCAGTCTTTATACATTCTGCTGTAACCATTTTGGCCGTATTTTACTACTGATTATTAATCACAGTTACACAATTCAATAACATTTCTTATGAACGAACAAAGTGAACTAAATACAAATCATATCCCCGAATAAATTGTGCTATCTCTGAAAAGTCATTTTTGACAACTATGGAATATGGAATTATATCTGACAGTTCAAATGTTCAATTCACCAAACTTCAGTGTACAGCTGCGGATAGTGCCAACCTACAATTTATTTAGAATTTAGGTTAGTGTGCGTTCCACTAAGCGTTCACAACGACAACCCTCAGAAGTTGAGAAACTTGTGCGAGCTAAGGACTAACGAGATCTTACCTTTAACGTGTGATTCCTAACACGGTTGCAAAATCATTCCAGCTTCAACCAGATAAATTCTCTCTAGAAAAATATCTGGATGAGGCGGGAATCGAACCCACGGACTTCCGATCATGCGTCGGGCGCGCTACCACCGCGTCCAATTCCACAACAAACTAACTGATAAANTATATAATTCTAATGCAGTATTCAAATAAATTAAGTTTGAATGTAATCTCTTGATTATACTCCAAATTTATGCTACTCCTAAATTTTTTGTTGACATTTTCAAGTTTCAAATATCATACCGTGCGTTCCACTAAGCGCTGACAATACACAATGATCAAAATGCTCCTATACTTTCCACATAATGCCCGCGGTCGTTGTGGTCACTCATGACGTCATTACTTTCGTTCACGGCAAGATCACAACCAACGATTATGGACGGTATGTCCATAATCGTTGGATCACAACGACCCATCCTTAGCTTGTCTAAGGACCCATCGGAAGAGGTGGGTCGTCTAAGTTATAGTTCTGTCTCAGAGTAATAATACGACATAGAGTTGTCATGTCTATACCAATACAATACATGTATTTTGAAACGGGTATCGTACTATCCTTTTCTGTACAACTTATGACCGTGGGGGGGTGACAGGTAATGAGGGGTTATGGAGAGTATATTTACATTTGAAGTACGTTGGACCATAAAACAGTGGCGATTGGTTTCGTTTATTTTATTACTTTTTTTTAGTTTATTAGTTTATTGTATTATAATGATTATGGAAATGAGGCAACTTTTTCCACCACCTACTAGATTTTTATTCATGTATGGCTTTATAATGAAGCACGTGGTTTACTGGATCAAAATTAAATTATTTCAAATGAACTAATTCATAACAATGAATGATGTGATTTATTCTCAGATTTATGAACAAGCGGTACGATTTGTGAGGTCCGATATAAAGAATTTTCGATTAGAAATCATAATTTCATTCATAATTGGTACCTAGGGGTCTTTGTGGACCGATATTATGAAAGGGGATATTTTTGATGTTTTCAATGATAATTTTTTTGATCTTATTCTTATACATGAAATTTTTGAAACTAGGTTTATATTATTTTATTATTTGATATATCCCAACCATTGAATATTGTCTGTATGCAACGCAAGAGCCTTGTACAAAGAAAGAAATACCAAAACGGAAATCATATTCTTTGTGTGACATAAGTTAGTTGTTAAGTGAGCAACAACAGATTTTATACCGGTTGCATAAGAATAACTATTCAGTATACAAACTATACATTAAGCAGAAATCTTTTTAATCTGTTGATCACAGAATGAATATGTCTATGGTCGAAGTGGACGTTAAGAATATTTCGGCGTAATTTTTGAAATATGACATAAATGTCATCTGTCATTCGTAATTCATTTCTAATTTTTTAACTTATTCCATTGTTCAATCTCATAAGTAATCAATGGAATAGTTACTTACACATAATGAAGTGAATTTAAGAGTAGCGTAGATTTAGAGTATAATCTAAGTGTACAATTAGACAAGACATTTTCAAAATTTAAAGTGTAATATTAGATACAAAATCATGTACCTGAAATGACTTTTAAATTCTTCATCTGAATAACGATGAAATACATTCTCATAATCAATAACACATGGCCTAAGTTTTGGGTTTTCACGATTGCAGTTTTGTAAAGTTGCATTCTACTCACCATCTAAACTAGATGTACTAGTTTCTGGAGCACTATTGCGACGCATCTACAAATCTCCAATTGCCGTATAAGACATTTTTTAATATAAATAAAGTTAGCTTGTAATTATTGAAACTCATTGTTAAGGTTTGCGTAACCTCATTAAAACTTCTACTTAATTTTTTCAACCTCGCCATTTGTAATGTTCACATGAAAAAAATTCAAAAATTGCGCCAAAATATTCTCAACATCCACTTTGATCCATCTCTTCAGATAGGTCGTTGTGAGCTTGCTGTGAGCGAAAGTAATGACGTCGTGAGTGATGTTTTCGCCGCGAACTCAACGACCGCGGTCGTTATGTGGAACGATTAAAGTGGTATATTGATCGTTGTGAGCGGTTAATGGAACGCACGGTAAGCATTATCTATCATATTACACAAGAGTAGTTCTCTCTCTCTCTCTTTTTCTATGTTTTTGGCTTTTGCTTCCATTCAGGCGCATCATAAGTCAATACAGGAATAGTTTGTTCTAAAATAATTTGAGCAAATGATTTTTATCTCCAAAAAATAGGTTTTCATGGTAACCAGTAAACAATCCCCCCTCTCATTTCCTCAAAACATCTTGCCGAGTAAACTATAAGAGGTGGTCCCTTGGAAAGGGGTTTCATTTCATGTCACGAATTATAGAAACGATTTTCTTTTTTACGAAAGTTTGTAAAAAGCCGAAAGAAGCAAGTCTGGCTATAATATCAACTATTACAGAATACTATGAAATAAGTAGTACCGAACTAGTGGAAGCATATCAATTCTTTGCAAAGAAACAAAAAACCTCTAATTCATTGTCTTATCGACTCCGACTCTGACATCAGCGATCTGGACAGCGACGATATTATGTCGGGCGAAGAAAGCCAAGCGGCAAAGGTAAGAACACTATAATTGTAATTTTCATTACAATTATAGTGTTCCTTTCGGATGTTATTATTGCTATCATTTCTTTTTCTGCTTATTAAAACACATATAATATATTTTTGATGTAGATATGTTTCGAATAATCATAAAAGGTTTTCTTATTCGAAGTTCATTGTAGAAAACGCTCAGAGCAATGGAAAAAATATGAGTAGGTACCTAAAAATGAAAAAAAAACTCTCGAAAAACTCTACGTACGAATTGAATAGCCGTGTATATACATATATAAATGTACACTCAAGTGCTTGTGGTGTATGAGATATCCTCATGAACTGGGCATATAATGTTAAAAATAATTAAGGCTTTCTTTTATTGTGAGTTAACTAATCTCAAAAATTGCCCATGAGTTCAGTGATTAAAAATGCTTATTCGAGATAAACTATAAATAAAAGATAATGTACTTGAAAGGTAGTTTTATTATTTCAAAATTCAGATAAGCAAAAAGTCTTCATTTGATGAAAGAAACTCTCTTAACAACAACAAATGTATTCTGGCAAAATCGAGCCTCAATAATTTCCTTATTCCAAACTGCAAACACATCATTCTGGAAATTACCGCCAAATTAATGCTTCCAATAATCAACTACGACTTATTCCTGCAGTCATATTGAGTGAAGAGGGTGGGATCCGCCGGGTGGAGGAAATATTGAGAGCTGAAAGCTGTTGGTTCACTGATGGACCAAAAACATCCTTAGGTTCTGGTGCAGATGTAGGTATGAGGTTGCAGTGACATAGCAGACCCATGCGGCCTTATTTCTGACGAAAATCCACGCCTTTGATTTGTGTGAAGAGATTGATGAGAACCATCTCACACATAACTTAAAAAAATATTCACGGAACACAATATGTCGCTTTAGACTTTGTCAAACAAACAATAAATGGACTGCAAGACGACCTTCAGACTCCGGGCATAATTATTCTATCCAGATTTGTCCCATTTGAATTTTATAAAGATTGGACTCTTGGAAAACATAGCATGCCATCAACGAATCAGGTTCTCATTATTTGGCAGAGCATCATTCTGCCATCTGACCTGAAAGATCACTCATCAAATGAAATTGGCTTTGTTGAGAAACTGAACTGAATATGAATCACTCACAATGAACCCTCACGGGTTGCAGTGGAGCTCGAGTAGATCCACTCAGTTTAGATTTACCTACCAACCGATCCAAGAGTAAACATTTTAGTGGGTTCTTCTATCTTAGGGAATTACAATGAAACGTTTCCAAAAAATAATACTAGATAAACTAGGAATACTTTTATTCATAACATAAATAAATTAGGTACACATATAAATATCAATTGTTGATCATAAAAAAACATTCTTTGGCCCGAAAAAAACAATTCATAATGCACTTTTCATCTTCCCCTTGCATTAAGTTATTCCGTTTTATGTAATCTATATTTATGTATCTTAACGTATACATATCAAGATCCACCAATGAAAGTATTTGAAAACGTCTACACTGGAAATATAAACGCGATACATAAATGATCCCTGCAAGATCGTATTTATTTAGTGATGAAGCTAGACGGACAACGTTAGAAAGTTTTCTTTGATGGTACCAGTTATATCGAGGAAACTTGATATTTCACTCTAACTATTTGACTCGAATGTATCAAGTGCTGAGTTTTTGACATGAAGAATAGTGCTCTGGTCATGACTTGAACAGAAAAAAAAACGTAGAAGGCAAATCATTTGCAAAAACTTTATACATGTATTTTGGAAATCTTTTTTGAAAAAAGTGTTTTCCATTCACGAATATTGCAGTTGAGATGAATGTCAATTTTCCCAGCAATAATTATATCAGACCCTTCATTTGGCTTGGAAGTCTTATTGTAGTAAAATATTTTTAGGCCAGTTAGTCTTCGTTCTTTTAGTTAGTGAGAAAGTGAGATGAAAACACAATCACTGGAAGATCACGTTAAACTTTTAACGAACTAACATATTCTTTAGATTTTGCTCCATTCTCGTAGCCGACTTAGTATCGCAATATAATGTTGTAAATCATGCCCTAAAGAAAATAACGCCGGCCGCCAGTGGTAGCTATAAACCAACTGTAACGTGGCGAAAAGCGCGCTCAGTTCGACCGACTATTTGCGGCTATTCTACGACTTCGATGGAATTCTGAGGAATTTTCCAGCGCCTTCGATTGCCAAATATAAGCGCCACTCACTCGCCCTACGAGACAGTCAAGTGGAAGTTACAGTTCGGTACGCGAAGTTTCAGTTAAAGTCTTTGTTGTATTCAAAGTAGAATAAAGTTAAGTTTGATTATTGTTCAGTGTAGTCAATTATTGGTCAAACCTACGGGGAAAAACGTAACAATATCTACACATGCAACACTATACGTGACTGTTCAAAAAATAAGGTGAATGTTCAAATTTTGCGGGCTACGTAAGCACACTCTTGAACATATGTTCACAGTTTTAGTTGTTTAGCATGTTCAGTTTTTTGGTGAGAGGCATAAAAGTTAGAAGTGTTTTTCGTGTTCGGCGATTTTCTGCTATAGAAAAAAATGTATCAGAGAATTTGCATCAAATTTGATGTGACAAATGGAATTGAGTACTCCAGAAAAAGGTTTACAAGTGGTACAAGCTTTTCACAGAAAATCGTGAAGATATGAATGACGACGCTCGCTATGGACGCCGTAGAACATCAACAACTGATGAAAATGTTGAGACAGTGAAGAAAATTCTTATCAAGAATCGTCGAATCACTATTACATAAGTTGCTGAAGATGTCGGCATATCGGTTGGCTCATCTCTTGCAATGTTTTCGTGAATTTTGGACATGAAGCGAATGGCAGAGAAGTTCGTTCCAAAATTGCTGAATTTTGACAAAAAAAAAATCGTCGCTTGAGCATCACTGAGGAATTGTTGAATGACGTCAACGGCGATCCAGATTTACTTGAAAGGGTCATAACATGAATATATATGGTTATGACATGATGGAAACCAAGACAAAAAAAACACGCCAAGTTTCATCAAATGTCAAAGTTTTGCTTATTGTTTTCTACGATTACCATAAGTAGTGTTAGGAATCACACGTTAAAAGGTAAGACCTCGTTAATCCTTAGCTCGCACAAGTTTCGACTTCTGAGGGTTGTCGTTCGTAGGGGTGCGACAGCTGGTTAACGGAAAAACAGATTTTAAACAGATTAAACAGTGTATCTGTAGTTCTTACAACATGGTCGTACGGTCAGTAAGGAGTATTATCTTGAAGTTATGCACCGCCTGCTTGATGCAAAATGAAGAAAACATCCAGTATTGTGAAAAAACAATTCATGGCTTTTGCATCACGTTGATGCTCACTCAGCATTGCTTGTTTATAATTTTTTGGACAAAAACAACACCGGAATCATACGTCAGCCACCGTATTCACCAGATTTGGCCCTTCGCGACTATTTCCTGTTCCCAAGATTGTAGAGACCAATGAAATACGGCGTTTTACGGCGATTGAGAAGATAAAAACCGAATCGCTGACAGAGCTCAATACTTACCAAAAAGTGCACATCAGAACTGTTTCGAAGATTGAAATAAACGCTGGCACAAGTGTATCATATCGATGGGAGACTACTTTTAAGGAAACAAAAGTGATGAATTTATAAATGTTTTTTTGAAAAGAAAAAATTTCACCTTATTTTTTGAACAGACAGCGTAGGTATATGATTAGTGTTAACTTTGTCATACAGTGTACCATTTCGAAAAAATTGTTAAGTGTAGATATTCCTCACCAAAACTAGTTCGAAAGTAGTCTCCGCTTTAATATATAGTTTTATTCTTTTTTTCGGACAAAAATATGATTAAGTGAATACCCAAAAAAAACTATCGCCTTTTTGCTAAAATTTTCGAAAACCCATGGTATGAGAATACTCATACCCACACCTATTTTCTGTATCAGTGTTTGAGAAAACCTAGGAAAATTATTAATACTTATATTGGCAGGCAAATATTCAAAAATTAAAATAATATTTGGTTAAGTTTGAAACGAAAACGGTCAACAAATATAAGGCAAATTGTGGGATTTAGGGTTACGTTTTCTACAAGTGACCTGTACTACACTAAATGAAAGAAGTAAAAAATGTTTTAGCGAGTCGAAAAGTGTGAGAAAAGTCTGAATTGAGTAATTCAGATAATATACCTTATATATGAGATATGGCTTGAAAAAGACATCATCTTCACTTCTACTTCTGTATACAGGGTGTTCCAAATCAACTGGACTTCATTGCTAACTCCGTTATTATTGATGCTACGAATTCGGTTAAATGGGCTGACTAGAAGCATTTTTGATAACCTTCTCGATGCCGAAAACAAAAAAAATTACAGTCGCGTTTTCGAAATATTTCATGAAATGATTCTTTTTTAAATGGAACACCCTATATTTTATCATTCATTTCGATTCGTGATAACATTCTCAATAACAATGCTCATATCATCTTTCTTCCTGAAGTTAAAAATGAGCGACTTATGTGACAATATTTCTTTCTTTCAGTAGTACAAAAAATTACTTTGTTTTGGCGAATAAAGAGCTTTGAAATATCGAGTAAATATTCAAAAACACCGCCTTCTTGTTGAACACATATTTGGGCCCTTCTCTTGATACTACGTGTTGCTTTCAACACAATTTGGCCAACAATACTTCTATACGGTGCTGTTAATTATATGTATATTCTGTTTTATCGAATCAAACACATTTTTTTCCAACTGCAGTAATATGACGCTCCAGTATTTTCTATTCCATACAAAAACGGCGTCAATGTTATCATTATAGCAGACATATTTTGATTCACAAAATAAATACGGCTGGTGGAATGGCTTCAAGATGGAAATTATCGTTTTGTGTTTTGTAAGTTAATACCAAATAGCTCAGTGGTGTCAAGCGAGTGGTAGAACATGATGGTCACGGGTTTCATAAGTTCAAGCCACATCGCAATTTTCTCTTTTAAATGTTGGTTACAAAATATTGTCATTCGTATAAGTACCAAAATTGGGTGTTTGGACAATCCACAAAGAAATGTTTTGTACTAGTGAAATAGATGAATTTTTCTACAAAGTCACTCATTTTCAACTTTAGGAAAAAAGGTGATATGAGCTTTGTTGTTGAGAATGTAATTACGAATCGAAATACATGATAGAATATCGGGTGTTCCATTTAAAAAAACATTTTATGAAATATTTTGAAAACGCGATTGTCATTTTTTTTGTTTTCGGCATCGAAAAGGCTATTGAAAATGCTACTAGTTTGCTCATTTAACTGAATTCGTAGCATCAATAATAATGGAGTTGGTAATGGTGCCGACTGTATTACTGTATACGTAAGTGCTCAAATACCCTTTTTCAAATACATCATTGTGCACAGTCCTATATAGATAGCTTGCACTTTTGTCGTTATTTTCCGTTATCAGGATCTTCACGGTATATATTTTATTCTTCAGAAAAATGCCCAGAGGCAAGCTTAGATACCCGGGAAGACATTTTATATAAATTGTGCCTACTTATGAGGTCAATTTGATCCAAGAATTCGTTCTATAAAATTTTAATCAAAACTTTACAGTGGAACAAAAATATTGTCTATAATTGAAGGAATTGTTTTAAACTGCCAACGGGCTGAATTCCATCTATACTTCTCACTTCCCTTTTTTATAAAAAAAATCCTTCAGCTTTTTGACCTCATGATTAGATGAACACTGTCATTGAAAATTATGAGTAAAAGAACGTACGTATGAATATGTTTTTTTCAAAAGTGCACTTATTTCACTCAAAAGGAAAAATTACATAGTAAAAAATTGTTCGATTATTATTTTCCTACACCCTCCCTGGATGAGAAGTTGTATAAGCCACCGCTTGGGATTATCAAAAAAATGTTTATCATTAACAAGGAAAATCATTTGTGATAACTATTTATATGAAAGAATGTGAAGCACTTAGATATCATAACATAATGAAAATAAACTTTGGAAACACGACTAAATTTATATAAGATAGGCTTTCACTGCCGGAGTCACGATTGTGGAGAAAACATCCGGACCAGTAGGCCGTGGTCGAATGGAACCTGAAGCACTGCACGTTTCGTCTGCTACTGTGGCAGACATCATCAGCGGTTTATGCGTTGATTGTAGTAAGGCAATGAACGTTGATGTCAGCCGCAGTAGCAGACGATACGTTTGGTACTTCAGTACTTTGGTACATTCGACTACGGCTTACTAGCTCGGACTTTGTTCTCTTCAATCACGATCCCAGTTCAGAGTACATAATTACAAACAAGATAATTAATTACCTCTTCATCTTTCTGTATTAGGAGTCTATCCGTTTCTGAGACGTCAGACTCGTATGGAGCCGAGTCTCGCTTGAGTTTTCTGCAATGATGTAAAACTGATTCATTTTGAAATTCGATTGAAATATACAACGAAAATAATTACCCTCGTTCTCTGGCGTGTTGTGAGATTTGTGATATACATTGTGCTCGGAAGTTCTCATAATGCACGTCTTCAGTAACGTCCTTCAAATCTTGCATATGTGTGGAAATCAGCATGGTTCGCAGTTTATTGAAGTCGCTGTGCTTAGGATTTTCCACTGAAATTGAAATTTATTCAGCTGAAATAGTACAAATACTTTGATATGACGGCGTTATATGCCAATAACTTGTACAACGATAATACAATAGTTTGAATATTATGTCAAAGTGAAACGATTTGTTATTGTGCAGACAATTTAAAACATTTAACCAATAATATACGAAATATTACTTAAGAAAGTTCTATTGTTCTAACCATCGACTACGCCCCAAGGATATTGTCTTCCACGAATTTTTTTTCCAGCAATTTCGAGAGTTGTGTTGCTGCCAACTACAGCAAAAGGAATGCTTGCTTTCAACTCCCTATCTTGCTGTTTGAATTCTTCATCCTCATCGCTGTCACATTCAGGAAATTCATACATCTAAAATGTTCCATTTATCAAGTAGGGTTTTACAAGAAAAAACTGTGGTCATACCTGAATATCGTTATCTCTTATATCGTTGAGGATGTTTTTCTTCAATTTGGCAACTTCAGTAGTGGTTAATGTATCCGCTTTTGCTATTACTACTACAATATTAACTTTACGGTGCAGTCTCTTCATTAACTCAAGGTCCATTTGCCTCAAACTGTAAAATAAAAAACAAAAAAATTAAATTATTACCATGGAGGTGCTAATGACATTTTGAGGAATCTCAGAAGAAACAGTGTATTAATCAAAATGTTTCTAAGACAAAAAAAACACATACACAATTTTTGGTGACTTTTCTTTGAGTTTGGCTTCAGATCTGTGAAGGTTATTTCACTTTTTTGAATGAGAACCCATTTTATAGATTATCACATTTTTAGTTGGTAGATATAATTATGTTAGTGGATTACCTCTTGGGACAGAAAAGTTCAAACACTGCATCATGATTCTCCATAGTATCTCTGATGGTCCGAATGAAAAGGTTTGGACTCATTTATTCATATGAAGAGTTACCATAGCCACTACCTCTGGAGACCCTAGGTCGAGCCACCTAAAGTGGATATTGACCCCAAGATCAGAAATGACAGTCGATGACCTTACGGAGGAGGCACCTAAATACAGCGAGGCCGCCTCCCCCTTAGCGGCGGATCAGATGGACCTCTAGAAGCAACTTCAAATCCAACAACTGTCTCACGGGCAAGGACGTTGGAAAGAAGGTAAAAATAATACAATGCAACCTCCAACACAAAAAGGCGGCAACGGCAACACTATGTCGCCACCTCGATGTATGTATTGGGGGATGCAATAGCTTTGATCCACGGGCCCTGGATAATAAAGACCAAACTTACTGGTTTGAGTAGCCTAACTGGTCAAATTTTCAGCTTACCAAGCAATCCTGACAGAGGTCCTGACTCCTGGCATTAATGAAGAACTGGAAAGGTACACAGTATCTATCCAAAACAAAATAGACACTGCCTATAAGGAATCCTGTCCGATGAGGATGATTCAAACAGATGGCACAACCAATACATGGTGGTGCTCTGAACTGGAACACCTCAGGAAGACAACGAGAATGACCTTTAATAAGGCAAAACCTCCAAGACTCGAAGAGTACTGAGGTATGGTATATATCAAGCCAATCTCAGAGAGTTCAAAAAAGTCTACAGACAAATAAAAAGAGAAGCCTGAAGAGCCTATCGTGAGGCAGTCGAAGACTTTCCACTAGCTTTTAGGCTACAGAAGGCACTTATAAACGACCACCATAAGAGTCGCGGCCTCCTGACAAGTGAAAATGGCGACAAAGCCGTAAACCTCCAAGAAAGTGCTGAGATTCTTATGGAAACTAACTTCTCAGGTTATGTCTTTCCTGAAACGACGAACTGGATAGAAGTACCAACAACACCATCACAATACGACTGGCAATCTACTAGTGCAGTAATTGATGAGTACAAGATAAGATGGGCCGCATCGGGCTTTTCCCCCTTCAAGTCACCAGGACCTGATGGTATGAGACCAGCACTACTTCAATAGGGATTGGATATTCTTATGCCACACCTGGTTGGAATATTCAGAGCCTCTCTAGCTCCGAGGTATATTCTCAGTAAGTGGAGAGAAGTACGAGTAGTATTCATACCCAAACCAGGTAGGATGGGCTACACATTACCAAAAGCATTCCGACCAATTCGTCTCACATCGTTCTTTTTAAAAACTATGGAGAGGCTATGTGAGCGGTACATAAGAAATGAAGTACTAGTTCACAACCCACTTCATCCAAATCAGCATGCATATACTCCTGGAAGGTCTACTGATTCGGCCCTTCACCATGTGGTTGGCAGAATCGTAATCATTGGTCGACAAATAATCCACCCTGGTATATTCATAGATATCGAGGGAGCTTTTGATAACACAACCTTTCCAACAATTACCCAGCAACTACACTCCAGGAATATACCTCTGGAAGTAGGAGAATGGATACACGAGAAGCTTTCTTGTAGAGCAATAAGTGCCAATGTAGAAGACATCACAGTGAGAGGACTGGCCATGAGGGGATGTCCACAGGGAGGGGTCTTATCACCTCTTGTTTGGAACATAGTTCTGGATACCCTGAAAAATCACCTCAACAATAATGTACTCTACACAACTGCAGATGCAGATGACATAGTTATCATGCAGACCGGCAAATTTGTAAACACACTGTGCGATAGAGCGCAGGATGGGTTCGAATTAATAGAAACATGGTGTAAGAAACACTCACTGTCGATCAACACCAACTAAGATGGACCTTTTCACCAGGAAGAGAAGTTTATCAGGCTCAAAACCTCACGAAATCTTCAAAAGTCAACTAAACTTCTCTGAAGAGGTGAATTACCTTGGTACTATCCTCGATAGGAAGCTAACATGGATTTCTCACCTACAGAGTGGAGCAAAAAGAGCAAATGTGGCTTATGAGCAATGCCGGAGGATAGTGGGATGCGCATCGGGTCTTTCATCCCGTGTGTCACCTGGATCTACACTGCAATAAGACCTATGTTAACGTACGGAGCCATTGCATGGGGACCGAAAGTTCTACAAGCAACGGCCATCCAAGTGAAAGCTGTGGAGAAAAAAAGAAAACGATTTTTATTGTGGTTGTTGAAGGTTTGAATCTTCTATCTTTCCCATAGACCATCAGATATAGCTACTGAAATGTGGCATCACTATATTGGTGAAATTCCCCTTTCATTTCTGTCTGATGATATTCTCACAGAGCACTTTACAAAACTGCCAAAACCTAGAACGAACAGTTTTACAAACGATTTCGAGAATTAGCTTCAAAGAACAACAGCGTAAAGTGTTTTCAGAGACATGCTGGATTAACAATTTGTTCTTCAATGATAAAGCCAGCAGATAGGCAGTCGACAGGGGTTAAAAGTGAATTATTGTTAGACCATTTGCATGTAGAGGCGCATTATATTTACCTTCAAATAATTAACTTCATTTAATCACTTGCAACGGCCATCCAAGTGAAAGCTGTGGAGAAAAAAAGAAAACGATTTTTATTGTGGTTGTTGAAGGTTTGAATCTTCTATCTTTCCCATAGACCTTCAGATATAGCTACTGAAATGGGGCATCACTATATGGTGAAATTCCCCTTTCATTTCTGTCTGATGATATTCTCACAGAACACTTTACAAAACTGCCAAAACCTAGAACGAACAGCTTTATAAACGATTTCGAGCATTAGCTTCAAAGAACAACAGCGTAAAGTGTCTTCAGAGACATCCTGGATTAACAATTTGTTCTTCAATGATAAAGCCAGCAGATAGACAGTCGACAGGGGTTAAAAGTGAATTATTGTTAGACCATTTGCATGTAGAGGCGCATTATATTTACCTTCAAATAATTAACTTCATTTAATCACTGGACATTTCCAAACTTATACATTAAACAGTTTAATGTTTAATGTGACATTTTCAAACTTATACATTAAAAAGTTTAATGTAAGTTTGAAAATGTCTCTTTTCTCCATGAAAGTCAAATCCTATTATGATAGGTAAGAAATAATTTTTTTCAATTTTTCGAACAAAAATAATAACTTATGATACATCATTGAAAAGGTGAAATCTGGTTCTATTCAAAACAGAAATAATCCAATATAGCGTCCATAAGAAAAAATAAACTTGATGATGGTGGCCGGAAGACGAAACGTCGGATAGCAAATCTGAAAACACCATTATGTAGCAGGGAAGAAGTGGCAATGTGGAAGTGCAATTTATTTTCGAATCGTTTGAAAAATAAAGCCAGAAAAAAATAAAAACCATTCTTCGAAATTTCTGTTTTTTCCGGATATCTCTGGATATACTCGGGATTTCAGAACTTTCTCACCGGTATATTGCTAGTCAGGTAAATGCGCAACTTTGCCCCAATTTAACCACCTTCGTATCTCTCATAGTTTCCGAGATCCCAATGGTGAGGATCGAATTTGAAACACCCTGTATATGGATGATCTACGCATTATCCAAATTTAAATTCGATTTTAATATTCGTTCTTGTAATGAATCATATTTGAATTGCTTGAAATTTACCTGTGTCCCCATGGTGGTACAAAGTATAGGCAACAGTGTACCCTATTGTCTTGAATATTTCTTCTGTTGAGTCCGCTCTCATCGGTAAAGTACTGCCTAAACTGCTCATCGATGTAGTTGATGCACACTTTCCAGCTATCTTCGCAGTTCACGGCATCTCCAAATCCTGGCGTATCGATAACAGTCAATCTTGAAATAAAAATCAAATCTTTAGAAATAAGACATATGAAGAAAATAAATATTTCAAATGCCGACTGTCTCTCCCAATATAACAGCACAGTACTATTTCCTGGCTAGTACCACGCGAAGACATTTGTGCAAGTTTCCTAACAAGGGAAACTCTTGCAGGTGCAAGATGCTTCTTTTCCGTTTGGTGTCTTGTTTACGAAATATAACTGTTACTACTTCATTGTTAGTAATTGATCAGATCCTGTCTCAGACAAGATTTTGTGTATGCAGTAGAGCGGCTAAAAAGCCAGTCTAGTCTCAGGCACACTGATGCCTCTGTCTTGGGTAGATCTGTCCTGCACATATGAAGAGTAATGGGAAATGTCTGCAAAAACACTTCCCATTTGTCTCTGCAAGACTAAACTTGCATTATTTTTGTCGGATATCATTCAATGTCCATCATGGTATTACAAGGAAAGTAATTATTTTCCGGTAAGCATTTGCCAGTTCCTACTGTGTAAAGTCATTGGGAGAGCTCAATAATAAAATTTCACTCGAAATATTATTTTTTTCAGTGAAATCGTTAATTGAACAATCATTATATAATAGTCCAGGAGGTACCTCAATTTAACACCCCTTTCTTCGATTTCCATAGTCTTCCGTTCGATACTGGTAGTTTTCTGAATTCGTTCGCTGACATCTGGAATTTTTCTATTTTTATAGAGGTCTTCGAGGAAAAGGCTGTTTATCAACGTGGATTTTCCAAGTCCTGATTCACCAACGACCATAAGCGTGAAATCAAAACCTCTTTTCACGGATTTTCGATGTACTTGGTCAGGAAGAGTGGCAAATCCTATGTAGTCTCGATCCCTACCTGCGAATAAAAAATATGTTGTAGTTGAAATTGATCATTCGAAAATGTAGTTCTTTAAAATGTTGGCCAAAATACTGTTTCGCCCGCAGGGAAACATGAGTGTCGATTAGTTTCTATGAAGCAAACCCAAAATATTGGATTGCGATCGATATATAGTCGAAAGAGTGTCTAGCACTCAAAATAGTTCAAAAGCACATAAAACGACGCGTAAAGAAGTGAAAAAGTCATTGATTAAATTGAAGTATAATATTCAAATCTCCTGGAAATAATTTTACATATTCTCATAAAATTGTATAGAGCTAGTCTGGCGTGGAATCATATACCACCCAGTTGGTTGACAGCAAAGGTGGTATATATACCTAAAGTGTACGACCAATCAGCCTTACATTATTTCTGTTGAAAAGACTTGGGACGGACACATCAGGAGGGTGGCATTATATGCATACCTCCTGAATAGCATTAAACAACCTTGTAGAGAAAATATCCCAATTCCTTGACAACAAAGAGATTGCGGTTGCTGTATTTCTCGATATTGAAGAAACATTTGTCGAAGCACTACCTAAATCTATAGGATCGTCTCTGGCTAGAAAAGGTATAAAATCGACGATGACTGGCTGGATCTATGCCATGCAGGTAAACAGAACTGCAACTACGACTTTTCAAGGCGAGGCCATTACGTTCAGGGTTACCAGAAGCTTATGCAGATGGGCTTGTCATCTTGGCAAGGTCCACGCCGGGAAGTGTAGCTTGTAATATCCTCCAAAGCACGATGGACGCTGTTCACAGTTGGTGCTTGAGGAAGCAGATGTCTGTCAACTCTAGCAAAACGGTGATAATACCCTTCACCAAGAGAAAAAAATTGGACGATCTAACGCCACTTTTCCTCAATGGTGAGGTCATTCCATTTAGAACAGAGGTAACATATCTTGGCATTGTCCTTGATAAAAAACTCACCTGGAACGCTCACATGGAAAAAGTTTTACACAAAGCCAGACTGTCCCTATGAACATGTCGAAGGATTTGTGGTAATACTTGGGGTTTAGGTCCGAAACAAATCCATTGGATTTATGTGATGAATATCAGACCAATGATCACTTATGGTGCAATTGCCTGGTGGCCGAAGGCTTTACAGAAAACGGCCCAGGCGAAGCTCTCTGGCTTACAGAGAAAGGCTTGCCTGGCCATCAGTGATATACATCGATGTATACCAGTGAGGTTGACAGTGTTCCATGTAAGTTCCATTTAAAGTAGAACTCATGTGAATGATATCTGATTTTTATTCCACAACGAATGTTTGAGATACAAACTGAGTAGAGAAAAGTATCTTCTGTATAATTCAGTGTTCATATAGAAGTATTTGTTTCGAAAGATTTTTTTTCTTTCGTGTAATTCAATCTATTGGAAGTGTTCATAGTATGATAACTAGACCAAAAAAATTGATTTTCACATTCCGTTTCGTAAATACAAGATCTCATCTGATTCACCTTCAGTATTAAGTCTAGCTGTGCCGTGGGTTGGGCTACCTATCGGGCGCGTCCCCAGGTGGCGGATAGGGGAACGGCCAGGGTCCGGAGGCCCTGTCCGGGGCCAATGCGGTCTTATGGACGGGGTCGCCGGACTCCTGGGCAGTGGCAAAAATAAGTAGGGTGAGGGGAACTGAAACCTCCCAAAAGCCTCCCAAAACATGCCACTGTGGACCAGCCTACCCAAGCTAAGGTGTAAGGAATCGTGCCGACAGCTGAATGACCGCAGGATGATATGCGGTCAAGAACGATTCCCTTGTGGAACTGGGCGAAATCTCATTGTAATCAGCCTACCTCTGGTAATGCGGGGTTCTGCCAGAGGTGACGAACTCTTCCCTTGCTACTCGTGGGAACACACATGAATGAAACAACAAAAACAGAAACCAATCCCGAAGCTGGACATAAGTGCTCACCTCAATCTAAGGCGGTGGCTGGGGATGAACAGAAATGTCAACCCCAATCTACCGCTTGGAATGAGGCTGGACATAGCAGATCACTTCCAACAGCAAGGGCACTTCCTACGGCGGACGCCAAGAGCTCCGCCTTGAATAAAGGCAAGGAACCGGCTGCCCCTGCAGGAAAGCTCCTGCACTTATGCACCTCCACGGAGGGAACCCCAAGAAGGTTGAAGAAGCCACGCAACGACAGTAATATCGCTGCACCATTCAAAACCTTCGCGGAGGCCATCGTGAGACACCTCAAGATTGCCAAAGAGAGTGTGTGCTCGGCGAGTCTTGATCTACACCTGCCAATATTAAGGATATGTCTCCTAGTGACCTGTTTACCTTCCTGGAAGGGACAGGATGGACGATGACCTAGGAGGACAATTCCTCGGGAGGATGTACAATGGGTCACATGTGGATACCAGATAAGTCTAGCTGTTTACAACAAGTTTTCCATATCAATCATCATGATCACAAATCTTAATGAATTCAGGATACATCTGAAAAATATTATATTTTAATGATTTGTTTTATGATTCAAAAACATAGTTGATATATCACTTCCCATTTGATTTTGATGAACTTGACGATTCCTAAGTTTTATGTGTCGAATGGAAAATAAATATTATAATTCTACTAAACGAGTTATTGTTTCCACCCGGTTTGACTAACAAAACTAAAGTTTAATTGTGGGGCACGTAAAAGTAATAAGTATCTGTTAACTTATATAGCTTTGAATTGAAACAAAGATTAAATAAAGCATCAGGGATTTCCCCAAATAATAGTAGTAGGTAAAACAGTAAATGAAATTTAATGAAGTTCGATGAATCAATAGAAACAGAAAGAATAAAACACACCATTGAAGATATATTTCACACGAATTGAAATGTTTTTAATCAAATCTTCATTCAGTCCTGTACAATTTTTTAAGGTGTTTACAGGAATTTCGTAGAGACAGTTAATTGCGGGTGTGTACCAACATATTTGCGTGACAGGAAATGGTCAACAACGAACGACCGCGGAATATTGAATATTTAAAAGGAAATTATGTTTGTTAATGTGATTAAACAGCACGCATTCTCCGTAAAGAACAATATTCGTATTCAAATAGTATATTTTAAAATACATTGCGAATCAAATGTTGACTATAAATTGGACATTCAAAAGGAGGTCAACTACAAAATAAAACGAATGAAATGAGAAAAGTTGTTCCTCAAATTGAACTCCTTAACAGAAAGTACATTATGGTTATGGTTATGTCAAGAGCTGGTGTGAGTTTCAAATTAGGTTTAAGAGTTTGTGCACCTACATTTCTATTTGAGGTTTTCGGAATTAACGAAAGGGATATTCATACTTTAATGTCTTGTACTTCAATATATCCAGGCGGAAATAATAGTTCTTTGGGAGTGCGATGAAGTTACTACACATGATTTCACTGGGAAATTTCAGCAGCGTTAAAAAAGAAAATTTCAGCAATGTCCATTTATTACAAGACACTGTAGCCTACGTAAACGAAATAAATCATTGAAATGTTCGCAATGAGTGTTTCGAAGAATAAGCAAGATAGTGGTATTCTGACCCTTCCTCTGCTGTTTAAAAAGCGGACAATCAGTTAGGAGATGATTCACAGTCAGATTCACGTGTCACGCTTCACATGTCGGTTCATTTTTGTTTTGACGCAAACGCTCGTGGGTTAGGCGTGTGTGGCCCAACCGTAAACGGGTTAGGATTACTTGGTCCCTTCGATGTCTAGGTAATGTAGTCCATGGTTTCACAAAACTTTCACATATATTCAGCGGGCATACTTGAAGACTGTCTGTTAATCAAATTAACTAAAAGAATAATTTGTTCAGGGCAGTCTCGACTTAGTTACACTGTAGGTTAATGGACCGATACCTATCAGAAAATAACTATTCCCCTAGCTTATATCACAAAGGGCGTTGGATTATATCCTACAGGTGTCAGTGCAGGAATCTCTGTATATGCTGTTGGCGATACAACTGCTGGAATCAATTTTCAATTATAGGAATGGGGACACTTGGAAATCGGTTTTGGGCTATTTGTCCTCTCATCAGTGCAAGGTAGTGGCCGTCATCAGCCCAAAGTTAATGATATTCCATAATTGAAAATTTAATTTCTTTCAGAGTATCATTCCTCTAACCAAGCTGAAGCGAACGATAAACAACAAATTTGTCCCCGCTCCATCTGGTAAACAAAGTACTAACCAACTGTAGATTCAAAATTCGCCCAATTCCTCGTATAGGTAAGGAAAGAAACATTCACATATATTCAGTGGGCATACTTAAAGACTGGCTGCAAATCAAATTGACTGAAAGAACAATTTGTTCACTGAATTTATGTATTAGTGCATTCTAGTCGCTTTTTTATCGCTGTACTCCGAAAACGGCAAATTTTACAGAAAAATGCAAGAGGCATTTTCGACACTTTAACGACGAACAATTTTTATAAACACCTCTATTGACCTCCGAGCAATAGTTTAGGAGATATTCGCGAAAAACTGATTTTCGTGACATTTTGACCTTAATAACTTTTTCAGCCGGCATATCAATGTCAATTTCTCACATCTTCTTTACAACGCCATAATTAAGCTGTATAGGAAAATTCAGCTCACTAGGAATTTATCCATAGATTGGGGTTTAAAATGCCCAAAATGACTGGACTATTAGATCTGAAATAATTGTAGGTGGAAACAAAGTTCGAGGTCCTTTAATTATCTACTTTATAAATACGGGAGGAGTTTTACGAGATACTCAAGAATAGCTAGCGAAGCAAATCTGTGAAATAATTGCAGAATTAGAAAACGTTTATATGTACCAGGAATTTTTAATTCTATTTTTGAGTCATCGCATTAAGATATTAATTCAGAAGTGAACCTATACCAATTTCAAGCCGAAATTCAGTATAAATAATTCTTATCAATCAGTGGATAATATTAAAAACGTAATTCTTCCTGGTAACGCGAAATGAATGTGTCCAAAATTTTATTCNTGCTGGCAGAGATCCATATTACGAT